CATCTTTTTTTATTATTAATTGTTATTTTTTTTTAATTTATTTTTTCAAATACATCTGTCTCTGCCTTCCCCCCACCACTTACCCTTGCCCCTCCCCCCTCCCTCCCTCAACTCTTCCCCTTTGGTTTTATCCATGAGACCTTGCTATATGTTCTTTGACTTTCCCCTTCCCCTCCTTTTCCCCTGCCTCCCCCTGCCCCCCCCACGTCCCCCCACCCGAGACCCCCCCTCGCCCCGCCCTTGCCTCTTGTCTCTGTTGATTTCTTTTCCTTTCAGTGTTGCTGGTCTTATTTTCCTTGCATCTTTGTACTGTTGGTTAGGTTCCACTTATAGGCGAGATCATATGGTATTTGTCTTTCGCCCTCTGGCTTATTTCGCTTAGCATAATGCTCTCTAGTTCCATCCATGCTGTTGCGAAGTTTAGTAGTTCTTTTTTTCTTTCTGCTGCGTAGTATTCCATTGTGTAAATGTACCATCATTTTTTGATCCAATCATCTACTGATGGGCATTTAGGTTGCTTCCAGCACTTGTCTATTGTCAATTGTGTTGCTATGAACATTGGGGTGCATAGGTTCTTTTGAATTGGCGTGTTGGGATTCTTAGGGTATAGTCCCAGCGGGGGAATCACGGGATCAAAAGGCAGTTCCGTTTTCAGCTTTTTGAGGAAATTCCACACTGCTTTCCACAGTGGCTGCACCAGTCTGCATTCCCACCAACAGTGTGCTAGTGTTCCCTTTTCTCCACAGCCTCGCCAGCACCTGTTGTTTGTGGATCTGTTTATGATGGCCATTCTGACCTGTGTGAGGTGGTACCTCATGGTGGTTTTGACCTGCATTTCTCTGATGGCTAGTGATGCTGAGCATCCTTTCAAATGCCTCTGGGCCCTCTGTATCTCCTCCTTAGAAAAGCATCTGCCCAGGTCCTTTGCCCATTTTTTGATTGGATCGTTTGTCTTCTTGGAGTGGAGTCGAGTGAGTTCTTTATATATCTTGGAGATCAAACCTCTATCTCATGTATCATTAGCAAATATATTTTCCCAAATGGTTGGCTCCCTTTTCATTTTGCTGATGTTTTCTTTAGCCGTGCAGAAGCTTCTTATTTTGATGAGGTCCCACTAGTTTATTCTTTCCTTTATGTCCCTTGCTTTAGGAGACATATCAGTCTCCTAAAGAAAAACTTGCTGCGTGGGATATCTGAGAGGTTCCTGCCAATGTTCTCCTCTAGGACTTTGATGGAGTTGTGACTTATATTTAAGTCTTTTATCCATCTTGAGTTTATTTTTGTGTATGGTGTCAGCTGACGATCCAATTTCAATTTTTTGCATGTAGCCGTCCAGCTCTCCCAACACCATTTGTTGAAGAGGCTATTATTGCTCCATTTTAGGCTTCTGCCCCCTTTGTCAAATACTAGTTACCCATAGAGACCTGGGCTTATTTCTGGGCTTTCTATTCTGTTCCACTGATCTATGGGTCTGTTCTTGTGCCAGAAGCAGATTGTTTTGAGTATAGTGGTTTTGTAGTAGAGTTTGATGTCCGGTATTGGGATCCCCCCTACTTTATTTTTCTTTCTCAAAATTGCTGCAGCTATTTGGGGTCGTTTAAGGTTCCATTAAATATTTGAAATGTCTGTTCTATTTCTGTGAAATACGTCATTGGTATCTTAATAGGGATTGCGTTGAATCTATAAATTGCTTTGGGTAGTATGGGCATTTTGATGATATTAATTCTTCCAATCCATGAGCACGATATATGCTTCCATTTATTTGTGTCTTCCTTAATTTCTTTCTTCAATGTTGTATAGTTTTCTGCGTACAGGTCTTTTATCTTCTTGGTTAAATTTATTCCTAGTACTTTATTTTTCTTGTTACTATATCGAATGGTTTGGTTTTTTTTTCCCCCAATTTCTTCTATTTCATTGCTGGTATACAAAAATGCCTTCGATTTCTGAATATTGACTTTGTATCCTGCTGTTTTGCCAAATTCACTTATTAGGTTGAATAGTTTTTTGGTGGAGTCTACCGGGTTTTCTATGTATACTATCATGTTTCTGCAAACAATATTGTTTTACTTCCTCCTTTCCTATTTGGATGCCTTTTATCTCTTTCTCTTGTCTGACTGCTGTGGCTAGGACTTCCAGTACGATGTTGAAAAGAAGTGGTGAAAGTGGACATCCTTGTCGTGTTCCCGATCTTAGTGGGAAAGCTTTATTTAACACCTTGTAATGCAGGTCTGCTGGTGATAAAATCTTTCAGCTCTTTTATGTTTCAAGTCTTTATTTCACCTCTGTTGTGAGCAGTTGTCACTATGTGTAGCACTCTGGTTAATTGGCTTTTTGTTTTGTGTTTTCCAAGATGTTGCTCCACTACCTCTAGGCTCGCCAGAGAAACCTGCTGTAATTCTGTGTTTGCTTCTCTATAAGGAATGTTTGTTTTCCTCTGACTGAGTTTAGTATTTTCTCTGTGTTACTTGTTTTAAACAATTTTGTGGTTTGCGTTGGTGTAGTTTTCTTCATATTTCTTGTGCATGGGGGTTGATGAGATGCCAGCATTTGTAGATTAATAGTTTCCATCAAATTTGGAAATTTTTCAGCCATTATTTCTTCAGGTATTTTTCTATCTTCACTGCCCCCCAGTGCATTAGTCTCCTTGAAATCCCACAGCTCATTCGTGGTGTTTGGTATTTTAGCCTTTTTTCTGAGTGTTACATTTTGGGTAGTCTTTATTACTATTTCTTCAATTTTCTTTTCTGTGTCCTGTAATCTCCTGTTAATCCCATCCAGTGCCCTTTTCATCTCACACATTGTCCCTCCCTCTTCTCCACCTTTGCCTTCTGAGCCTGTGTGGTTAGTCCTGGCGAGTGTCCCTGATCTGTCACTGCATCACAGGTCTCCACGTCCTTGCTGGGCTACGCCCTCTCCCCTCGGTGGTCTGCGTGACCTGTGATGGGGTGCTGGGTTTTGATTGGGAGATGGCGCTGTTATTCCTCTGTGTATTTTCATGCTTCATTCTGGGATATAGTTCTTGGATCCTTTCGGGTTTTACCTGTAAGTTTTGTTGGTTGGGACTAGAGAGAATTTACTTGCCTCCATTTTGGCCAGAGCCTATGGGAGTGATGGGATGATTCCTTCTGTCCTGCTGGTGGCTCTTTTCCAGCCTTGGTGGCTTACTCACAGGCTTGCACTGTCCCCTGCGAAGACTCAGGGCTCCTCTGTCTACAGGTCTACTGCCATCACCATCTGTCTCCTGTCTCTCAGCACAGCCTCCTCCCCTCAGGCCAGCTGACCACTTTGTACTCTTTCTGCGTCTTGGCTGGAGTTCTTCTGGGAGGGGCTGGTGCTGACCTAGAGCTTATCTGTGCCCTGCCTCTCACTACCTGGTGTCCAGTGACTTGAAAACCATTGCTCAATTGCATCACCTTCCTAGTTATTTTTAGTTTTTCCACACAGAAGGTAGATCAGCCCCCTGCCGCACGATCTGTGCCCAGGTTCTAGGAGGCCAGGTGGAGTCTCTTGAATCAGGCACAAATGGTTGGTTGGTGGCAGGTTCTGAGTGTTCTGGCTCATGCTTTGGTCTCCCCATGCAGGTCTGGGCGCCCTTGATCATTGTGTTGGTGGGGGGTGCAAGTCTTTCATCTCCATAGTCTCTGAAAAGCTGCCTGGGTGCTCAGGATGCCTCCAGCAGGCCTGGACTCGCATGTGTGTGCGTATCACAGCATTGAGTCATTCTACCTGTGGACAGCCTTTCAGGGTGACTCAATGCCTCCTGAGATGTTTGCATTTTGGCTTAAGGTTCATGAGCATGTTCTGGTTTGTCCACCCAGTTAGGCTTGTCTGGAGGTTTGGAGGGACACCATTAGTTGGCTGATGCTTTCCTGCACTCCTGGGAGCCTGACAGGTTCTGAGAGTGCCAGGACTGGTGTACAGCTGGGAGTCAGGCAGCCACCCAGGATGGGGCAGGTCCTGTGTAGATACAATCTGTGCTCTGGGCTTTCCCCGACCAGGATGGAGGAGGAGGAGGACAGCAACAGAAGTCACAGGGCTGAGTTGACTTGGTTTGAAAATAAACTGACATCTTCTCAAAACGGCTGTGTCAGTGTCTGGGGGCAGATGCGCAAGACCCGTCGTTGGGAGGGCGAGCTGTTACTCTGACCAGACCCTGCTTTATTTAGCCAGTCCCCCCACTGCAGAGAAACAAGTCACTTTCTTGTATTAGAAACAGTCCTGCCTAGTAACATCTTATACATAGCTTTGTACATTTTCCCAAGTGTTTTCTTGGATTAAATTCTGGGGCCTATATTATTCTATTATATTAGTCTGGTCATATTGGCATATTAGCCTAGACATTCATAGTAAATGAGTGAAAATGTCCCTGTTTCTATCAAGAAATAAAGGCATCAGTTTCCTTGTTGTTCAGGAGCCCTGTAAAGAGACAGGATCTCCCCCAGGGGTCTCTATGGGGCAGTCAGTAGGAAGGGGGCACTGGGGAGGGCACACAACATTGGCCCGTGGGGGTCCCATCTTGGCTACTGGGATGTACAGCGTGGGAGGGAAGGAGAAGCAGAGGTACTTCCTGGGGGCCTGGCCCCTTGCCTGGGGCACAAGACATGATGGGAGGCCCCAGCTGGTCTAGGACTCGCCTAGTTGCTCTTGCCCATGGGGCCTCCCCCTTCTGCCCCTTCACCTCTCACAACCCAAAGCCCTCCCTGGGTCTGGGGGTGACAGCATCATCTCCCCTGTCTGGCAGTTCTAGCTCCGTGCCCAGGTTCTAGGAGGCCAGGTGGAGTCTCTTGAATCAGGCACAAATGGTTGGTTGGTGGCAGGTTCTGAGTGTCCTGACTCATGCTTTGGTCCCCCCCATGCAGGTCTGGGCGCCCTTGATCATAGGTGTAACCAAGGTGAATGGACAGATCTGGAGTCAGGCCCCCCTGCCCCCAGGTCCAGCTCCATGTGCACTTGGAAGCATGCTGCCTCGCCTACTCTCTTGGTGTCTGTTCTCCATGCAGGCATTTGGACAGGTGCATACGAACCACAGGAAGGTGGCTGCGGATGGCGAGAGCCGGGAGGAGAGTCTGATCCAGGAGTCGGCCTCCAAAGAGCAGTACTACATGCGTAAGGTGTTGGAGCTGCAGACAGAGCTGAAGCAGCTGCGCAACGTGCTTACCAATGCACAGTTGGAGAGTGAGCGTCTAGCCTCGGTGGCGCAGGAGCTGAAGGAGGTACCTCGGGCTGGGCAGGCTGACCTGTGGGTGAGGAGACAGCCCCCGTGTGCCGGGGGGTGGGGGGCACACCACCACTCATTCCACCTGCCCAGCTTCAGCCTCACCTGGTCCAGGATCTGGTAAGTGTCTTGGCTCTGTGCTTGAGTTGGTATGAATCCTGGGTCTCAGGGGCAGCTCATTCCTCTGGTAGAAAGTGGGACTATAGCCTCTACCTGCCAGTTCCTGACAGGAAAGTCAGAAGAGGTCTCTGCAGACAGCCCCCAGTGTCAGCTTGGCCCCTGACAGGGACCTGGCCGTGAGAAGCCTAGATGAGTGGAGAACAGAGGGCAAGTGGCCAGTGACCTCTCAGGGAGGTGGAAAGATGGGTCACTGACCCCAAAACAGAATTAGACAGGGATGGCAGGTGGAGCTGGAAGTCTTTGTGAGCTGCAACCCTAGCCCAAGGCCTTGGGGCCCCTGGTCCTCAGAGCCATTGGGTTTTCAGGAAGGCAAAGGGCCATGTTCTGGGCCTGAGAGAGGCCCACTCTCTGTTTTGGGGGGAGGGCAGTGACAGGTGACCAGACAGGCAGACGGTTCTGAATGCAGACCAGCTCTGATGCCCACATCTCAAACAGGATGGTCCCAGAGGACTGGGAGGGGACACTGGCAAAGTTTGGGACAGAGTCCAGGGGCCAGCAGTAGCAGGGAGTAGTCACCCTTCCCCTGTGGGTTCATTTGGGTCAGAAGTCATTGAGGCCTGTGGGCCTGGGAAGAGCTTGGCTTGGATCTGGGGTTCGGCCGCCCTTCGAAGCCTGGAGATGGAATGTGTTATCTCATTTCCTCCCACAGGATCACCCTGGTCAGGGTGGGGAGGAGGGGCTGAGAAAAGTCGACCTCCTCATTGCCAAGCCCAGGTTCATTCTGCCTTTTCCTTCTCCCAGAAGGGCCTGTCCTGGGCTGTGAGGAGAGTGCTGGGACCTGCTAACTCCTGGTTTTGCGTGCCAGAAAGTTAGTTCAGCCAGTCCCACAGACTGTTAAAGAACAGGTCTGATGGTGCAGGGATCCTTGCTGTTCCTGTTAGTGCTTCAGGAGGAAGTCTGCCACTCCCATGTTTCCTCAGCTGCCTCTTGCTCCCAAGGCACAGCCTGCACCCCTGAAGTTCCTGTGAGGCAGGCCATGTGGAGCCTTCCTGGGTTTCCTGGCTGGGGAGGAGGCTCCCTATTCCTACCAGCTTGGACCAGAGCCCTGGTCAGTCTCCTCCATTGCTGGCTCCATTTGTATCCCTCTCCCATCCCTCTCCTGTGGCTCTTCCACCAGTCCTGGTCCTGCTGCTTCCACCCAAGCTGCTATGCCAAGCTCCTCTGTGGCCTCTGGCATGCCTCTCTCTCTCCTGTACAAGGCTCACGCCCAAGGCTCATACCTGGCGGAGGAGCCTGGACCATGAGGACACAATACCAAGCACTGTCCCCAGTGAACACCAGCCCATGGCTGCCTCAGGATAACCCAGCTGCACAGATCTTGCAAGGTTACCCCATGAAATGCCCCTTTCACAAGGAGCATATCTGTGTCCTGGGGCCCAGTCCAGACCTGTCACATTTAGTGGCTGATGAGCCAGCCTGCCCATCTTCCTTGTAACAACTGGCTTAGGTGTTTGTACCCTCATGCCCAGCTTACCCCAAGGACCCTGTAAACCTACAGTCCTAACCTCTGCACTATATGTTGTCAAGCCAGGTAGCTTCTCTTCCGGGATGTGGCCTTGAGCTCCATTTTGTAGGTGGAGAAGCAGAGTCCCAGGAATCCAGGCATGTCCACACCTGGTTGGAAGCAGAGTCAGGTCCTTTGCATATGCTGGGGGCTACCCTTGAGAAGTAGGACTGCTGGCTGGAGAGGGGTCAGCCTCATCTGCCAAGTGGAGACCCCCTGGTGATCTTGCTGTCTGGGTATTTCCTACTTTTCTCCTGTCCTAGTGGACCCTTATACCCTGGCCTTACTGTTCTAATGGACCCTTTGTGTCTCAGGCCCTGTGCAGCCCCAGGAGTGAGTGATAGGGATGCCCCAGTGGCAGTCCCCTCCAGCCTAGGCCAGGAGCCAGCAAAGGACTTGTTTCCTTCTGTGGTGACGTCTGGGCCTCCAGGACCAGCTTGAGGTGTGTGGTGGGTCAAGAGCACCAGGCAACCGGGTGAGCTCTGCAGCATGGGGTGGACACCCAGGTCCAGAACCAGAAGTTGGAGGGGCTGTGGTGGTGAGTTGGGGGGCTGTCACGAAGGTGAGATCAGGGGAGTTGGTGAGGGAGGGTCTTCAGGGGGCAAGGTGGATGCCCCTGCTTGGGCAGCCTGCACAGGGTGAGTTCATTCCACCCTCAGCCTCTAAAATTGGACATGAAAAATACTGACTTCCTCAGACACCCAGGAAAAGGTGCCCCCAGTCCCAGGCAGACGCACCTGCCGCCTCTGTCCTACTCCCCCCCTCAGAGTCTGGCCTTTGCCTATCAGCTGCAGCTGTGGTCACCGGGACTCCCTGGGAGCTGAATTCTCGTTTGTTACATTTACTTAATTTTTATGCAGTACAACTGGTCATGCATACTTTGTGGTTGCAGTGTGTACTACAGAGCTCTGGAACCTTCCATATCCCTGCAGAACCAAATTCCTTGGCCTGTCCTGGGGCTCTGTGGTCAGACTGGCTTAAGTGTCTGCCTCAGTATCACGGGTGCAGCCTGGGTGGTCATACATTACCTCCTGGAACCTGCTGGGAGAAGGGTGGCAGGAAGTGCAGCTGAGGGCCCAGGCCCATGGAGCCAGGAGGAGAGAGCTGTTGCCTTTGAAATCTCTGCCTCAGCCCTGCATCACACTGCCTGTCTGGCTTGCATGGTCATCACAGGCACCTATGTGAGGCTGGTCCCCAGGTTCTCTTCTCTTATTCTCCCTCCTGTTCCTTGTCTCTGTTTCCCCCAACCTCCCAACTTATCTGTTCCAAGGCCTGGCACCCCATCATCGTCCTCCGTCCCTCCTAGGGTGGACAGGGAGAGTGGGTGGAGGCCTGGCCAGAGGACAAAGGCCTGGCTTGGTCTGTGTCCTGCCCTTGTGATCTGCTGGTGTCTCCCCTAAAACTACTCTGATGGCCCCAGGATGGCCATTCTCTCTGGTGTGTGTCCTCTTTGTGCATTCTTGCATGGGTCTTTGCAAGGTTTCCTCATTGAAGGGGATGTCTGTCCTCATCTTCTGCTCAGGGCACCTGAGGGGTCAAGGTGTGAGTGTGCTGGGTAGACAGGGTAGGGGCTCTGAGGGGCATAGGAAAGGGTAGCCAACACATCAGGTCAGGTGCCTTCTGGGCCTTGGAGGCTGGCATTGTAGCCACTTTTTTTTTTTTTTTTTTTTTTTTAAACCAACAAGTAACCTGGGATCAGGAGTCCCTTGGAAAAAGGAGCTGAGATGGGACCCCTACTTGCCCACCTTTTTCCTCCATCTGGGCTGCCATTGACAGCTGGGGGAAGGTGCTTACCTGGGGGAAAACCACACTCCATGGTGGCTAGTTGGAGCTTGTTTGAGCCCGCAGATTTTGGGTGTGTGTTGGGTGGAGGTGCCCACACCTGTAGTGTAGGGTGGAAGCTTGGTCACTATGGAAACCAAGGTACAGGCCTGTGAGTCTTGCAGTGTCAGCAAATGGCACCTCCTGCTCTGCGGTGTCTGGGGCCAGTTTGTAAGTTGGGTGTGCCTTGCCTCGCTGCCCACAGGGCCCACCTGTGGGCTTGCCAGTGGAACAAGGACAAGGCTCTTGGGGTCCTGGGGTACCTGCATAGGCCCTGACCCAGGTATGTCTGCCCCAGTCCTGAGTTAGGAAGGTGAAGTCTGCTCCAGCCACATGGGAAGCTACACTGAGTTTTTCTTTCCATAGCCTGGAGGTCCCATTGCCGAGACCCATGGGGAGCTGGTGGGTTTGGACCTTCCTTTCGGTTTCCACTCTGCTAGGTGGCTATGTTTGGTGATGCTGCCTGTGTTTGGGCACTTCCTGCATGTCAAGTACGCTGACTTTGCAAGGAAAGAGGGAGGATTTGATCAGACCTTTTTGGCAGAGGGATAAGCAAGCCCCAGGTTGTGTGTACACAGAAAGCTGGAGGCTCTGTGTGTGGCAGCAGGAGGTGGAGGGGCAGGGGCTTGGTCAGGTGAGGGGCCCATGGCCACAGTCTGCTGAAAGCAGTGGGAACCAGTGAGAAGCTCCAGCAGCATTTGAGCAGGGGAGACACAATGTAAGAGAAAAGCCAATTGTATGAGAGCATCCTCCGCTGACTGGAGGAGGGAAGACTAGTTCAGCAGATGAGCTAGCTGTGGCCTGCTATGTTGCCTACAGTAGGTGGGATTGTGCATTGTGTGGATGTGTGCAAAGGCTTTAGCTTCCCTGCCAGTTTTCCTCACCACAGTGTTCACAATGAAGAGGCCCTGAGAGGTGTGCCGAGGTGTGGCAGCTATGCCGGGGCAGTGGCCCTCACTGGCTGCTCCCTGCCTCCTGTGTCCTCTTGGCAGCCTACCCAGGCACTAGGCCCCACTCCTATCTGAATCAATTTGAGGTGTCATCACAGCTGAGTCCTCCTGCTTCTTTAGGGGTGGGTCCATTTGTTGATAGTGTGTTGCTGATAAAGACAGCTGATGCCTCTTTGAGAGCGCACTAGCCAAATGGTTGAGGCTCCCCTGCAGGGGCAGGCGCTGTCAAGCAGGACTGCCTGGTGTCATGCACCTCGCTCCTTAGCCGCTTTCAAGTGGGGCCAATCACACCACCCTATCCATGAAAGGTGGGGTGTACAAAGAGGTGCTAACAGCACTGGGGGTTCCTCTGACCTTTCCTCTTACCCTGGTGTAACAGCCCACAATGCCATTTAACTTTATCCAGGCAACCTAGGTTCTCCCCTTACCTGACCCCAACTTCCAGGAGGGTGAAACCAAAATCTGTGTTCATTTCCTTTGTTTACCATAACAAATTACAACAAACTGGGGGCTTACGCCAACAGCAGTTTATTCTCTTCACAGTTCAAGGGGTCAGAAGTCTAAAATCAAGGTGTTGGCAGGGTTGGTTTGTTCTGGAGGCTCTGTGGGAGATTCCGTTCTGTGCCTCTGCCAGCTCCTATTGGCTGTTGTTGTGTCGTGGATGCATCACTCCAGTCTCTGCCTCCATCTTCCCATGGCCTTCTGAGTGCCTATCTCCAACTCTCAATCTTGAAAGGGCACTAGTTGTTGGATTAGGGCCTACCCTAAACCTCTACAACCTCATGTTAACTTGATTATGTCTGCACCATTCACAGAATTTAGAGATTAGCATTTCAGCATATTTTTGGGGGAACACCTTTAAACCAGTAATGATCTACCCTCTGGCCCCCCAAATTCATACCCTTCCTGTTACTGAACCCAGCCAGTAAGGAGAGGTCCTATCCCTGCTGCCTACCTGGCAAAACTCCAGACACAGTTCTCTGGAAAGGAAAGGAATCTTTTTATTTAACAATCAAAAAGGCTATTTAAATATTTGTCATTACAATTACTACATAGATTCAAGAGCTGAAGAACAAAAATCTGTACAACTGAAGAAGGCACGTAAACTTTGGTTTAAGACACCCAAAGAAAAATCACCGTCACCCTCTGCCAGCTTAGTTCAATGTTGTGGCAGGAACCTCTTCTCCCACACAAAAGTATCATAGATGTAGGTGGCTTACCTGGTCTCCATTTGCTGTCTAGCGTCAGACATCTTTCGGAGTCTGTGCCCTCAGGTCCCCATCTTGTGATGCCCTGTCCTCTTCCTACCCAGTTGACACCCCCTCCTGCCAGGGGAGTGGTGCGGGCTTGGTGTGGGGCCTGACACTGACAGGCCTGAGCCTCTTCCCCTCCTCTCCTACTGTACCTAATATCTGGGGCCCAGGACATCCAGACCCTGTGGGGAAAGGGCAGATCAAAAGGAATGGTGTTTCCACATGCTCCTTTTTTTGAATGAATCTTCCCACCCGAAATCTATCTCCCCTCTCCCCTCCCTTTTCCTTCCCTTCCTTTCAACTGATTGGTGAGGCCCACTCACACGAGGGAGGGTCATCTGGTTTGCTCAAAGTTGGCTAACTTCAGTGTTAATCTCATCTGAAAAATATCAGACATCTAGACTGGTGCAGGAGCAAATATGTGGATGCTGGGACCTAGCTTAATTGGTTCCGAAATTTACCATCACAGTTGGTCAGGCTGTAAGTGGGTGATGAGCAGAGGCAAGGTTGCATGTGAACTTTGCTAGGGATTTCCAGCAGCCTCTTCAGATAAATGGAAGTGAGTCAGTCTGTGTTTACTCATGTTGCCACTCACTATCCTCATGCTTATTTTTGCTCATTTACCAGGAGTTTTACTTCCTGAGGTTGGGGGCCTTTTCTCTAGGCAGTAGCTTGGTGTCTACTTTCTGTGATGTTGGCCCTCAGGCACTGATATTTTTAGGTCCTTCCATTTGCTGGAGGTTTTGGCAGTAAGAATTTGTGAATGCTAGCTGTACATGATGACTCTCCCGCTTCTGTTGTTTTCCTTTGCTCTTTCTTTTTGGTTCTATTTCATTTTACTAATGTCACGTTACTATTTTGTGCGTGGCTGCATGGAACCTTGGAATCTTGGCCTGCAAGGTGTGCACATGGATGCAATCACAAGAACCCTCAGCACCAGTGAAGAGGCCAGTGTACTGAGAGAAAGCAAAGTGAGCATGGGGCCCAGCTGGTGCCCAGGACCAAGGTGGGGTGGCATAGGCTTGGGAGTACCAGATCTTTGCAGATATTCAGGGAGTCCACTTGGAGCAACAGGGTGAGGGGAGATGGTTTGTCTAGGGGACAGTTCTGTCCCAAGGGACATTGGCCATGTCTGGAGACATTTTATGTTGTTAAAATAGGGGAGGGGGCTGCTAAATATCCATCAGGTACAGGATGACCCCAGAATGTTGCAAAATCTGGGGCCCAGGGACCCAGGTTCTGGCACACGTTGCCAGCGGCAGCCTCCTCTGTGCAGGACATCTGAACCCTCAAGGCAACCTGGAGGCAGGAACAATTTTGTAACAGCTTTATTGAGATAGTTCACATACTTATAACTTAACCACTTTAAGTGTACAATTGAGAGTGCTGTAGTATGTTTAGATTTATGTACCATCACAAAGCTGCTTTAGAACATTTCATCACTCCAGAAAGAAGCCCAGTTAGCAGTCACTGCCCTCCCGCCCCGCCCCCCATTTCCCTGCCTCCCACAACCACTGATCTACTTTCTATCTCTGGATTTGCCTTTTCTGGACATTCCATATGTGTGGAATCATACAGTGCATGACCTCTTTTATCTTTTTTTTTTCATAACATTTTTGAAGTTCACTTTTGTTAGAGTATGTGTCAGTTATATGAATGTAACACATATGTTTATCTGGTTTTTAGTTTGTGTTTTAATAATTTCTCTGACGTGTATTCCAAGGAGCAGCATTGCCAGGTCAGGTGGTAACTGCAGAACTGTTGGAGCAGCTGCAGCCAGTTTCCACTGCACTATACCATTGTAACCCATTTTGCAGATGAAGACATCGAGTCAGAGTCAGCTGAGGCTGTTTGTTGTTCATCTCTACCCCACACTGCCCAGGGCCCCAGCTCCCCTCCAGCAAGCCACACTTGGCCTGAGTAGGCTGAGCCACTGAACGCCAAGGGTGGCAGGGCCAGCTGGGACAGGCTGCTCATACCTGCCTTCCTCTGGCAGATCAATCAGAATGTGGAGCTCCAGCGGGGCCGTCTTCGGGATGACATCAAGGAGTACAAGTTCCGGGAGGCCCGCCTGTTGCAGGACTACTCAGAGCTGGAGGAGGAGAACATCAGCCTGCAGAAGCAGGTGTCTGTGCTCAGGCAGAACCAGGTGAGTGTCTGGTCGGGGCTCTGGGCCATGGTCCTCGCACTCCCTCACTTTGCCATTTTGTGTGGTCAGAAGGCCACACTGTTATGAACCAGGTGGTTGTGGTGGCAGGGTCTGGCCCCATGACCATAACAAGGCCTCTAGGTTTAGTGTTGGCTGACATTGGCCTGGCCAAGATGTCTTGGCCAGAAAAAATGGGGGAAATACAGGAGCTGATGAAGAGGTGACACCAAAGACTCCAGAGGCTGGGTATCTAGCTTAGTCCCCTCTGAGGTGCTGATAGGAACGCCAAGATATCCTATGTCCTATGGTACCCTGGAACTGTTGGCATGCTCATCCCTCCTGCTCTCTCATGTTTGCCAGTCTCTTTTGATTTTGTGTGGTCCTGGGCCTTGAGTGACCCTCTGGGTGAAGCCAGTGGGCCTTCCTTGAGGAGCAGTGTGGAGATGTTCAAGCTGTTAACTCTTGCCCTCAAGTAATCTTAGCAGTGAGTGGGATGAGGAGGGTCACCTTCACCTGTGGCAAGACAACAGGGTGATTCTGGTCAGTCACGTCCCTCAGTGCCTGCCCCTGTGACCTACCTCTCCAGGAGCCACACCTCCACAGGGTGGGAACTGGGGATGCCGTTTTCCCAGTTTAAATTCTGCATAGGGGAGTATGGACCCATGTGTTTACAGAACCTGTTTTTGCAAAAGCCAGCGGAAAGCACACTTCTCCCCAAGAATGCAGGGACAGGAGCTGCACCTCTGGTCACATAGAAGGACTACTGTGACGTTTTGTTGGTCATACACAAGGGTCCTGAGGAGAGGGAGACCTCACCCTCTGGCCCTGGGTAGCATGTGGTAGAGTCCACCCCCCTCCCAGGAATCCCCCTCCCCCGGCCTGCAACCATCAGAGATATACTCTGCCTTTGAGTGGCTTGTTCCTTATATTTTGTGCAAATATTACAGAATAATTAGAAATGTTTTGTTAAATTGCACATAGACTCTGATTCCCCATATCAAGCACAGGTTTCTGCCTGTGTGTTTTTTTTTAAATATATATTTTATTGATGATGCTATTACAGTTGTACTGTTTCTTCATTTTTTTCCTCCCCTTTATTCCTCTCCACCCTGCACTACCCTACTCCCCAGCATTACCCCCGCCCTCTGCCCCCCTTAGCTCATGTCCATGGGTCGTACATATAAGTTTTTTTGGCTTCCCCATTTCCTATACTATTCTTAACCTCCCCCTACCTATTTGTACCTACTATTTATGCTGTTTATTCCCCGTACCTTTTCCCCCATTCTTCCCCTTCCCCCTCCCTTCTGATCTCCATTTCTATGATTCTATTCCTGTTCAAGTTGTTTGCTTAGCTGCTGCTTGTTTTTTTTTTTAAAGTTCAGTTGTTGCTGGTTGTGAGTTTGTTGTCATTTTACTGTTGATAGTTTTTGACCTTCTTTTTCTTAGATAAGTCCCTATAACATTTCATATACTAAGGGCTTGGTAATGATGAACTTCTTTAACTTGACCTTATTTGGGAAGCACTTTACCTGCCCTTCCATTCTAAACGATAGCTTTCCTGGATAGAGTAATCTTGGAAGTAGGTCCTTGCCTTTCATGACCTTGAAAACTTCTTTCCAGCCCCTTGCCTGCAAGGTTTCTTTTGAGAAATCAGCTGGTAGTCTTATGGGAACTCCTTTGTAGGTAACTGTATCCTTTTTTCTTGCTGCTTTTAAGATTCTCTCCTTATCTTTAATCTTGGGTAATGTAATTATAATGTGCCTTGGTGTATGCTTTCCTTGGGTTCAACTTCTTTGGGACTCTCTGAGCTTCCTGGATCTTCTGGAAATCGATTTCCTTGGCCCGATTGGGGAAGTTCTCCTTCATTATTTTTTGAAGTAAGTTTTCAATTTTTTGCTCTTCCTCTTCTCCTTCTGGCCACCCCTATGATTTGGATGTTGGATTGTTTAAAGTTGTCCCAGAGGTTCCTAAGCCTCTCTCCATTTTTTTGAATTCTTGTTTCTTCATTCTGTTCTGGTTGAATGCTTATTTCTTCCTTCTGCTCCCAGTTGATTTGAGTCCTAGTTTCCTTCCCTTCCTGTTGGTTCCCTTCATATCTTTATTTCACTTTGCATAGCCTTTGCTTTTTCCTCCATTTTGTGATGATACTCAGCCAATTCAGGGAGCATCCAGATTACCAGTGTTTTGAACTGTGCATCTGATAGGTTGGCTATCTCTTTATTGCCTAGTTTTACTTTTGGAGCTTTGATCTATTCTTTCATTTGGGCCACATTTCTTTGTCTCAGCACGCTTGTTATGTTGGGAGGGGTGGAACCTTAGGTATTTGTGGGGGTGGGGCGGAGGGGCTACCCAGGTCACTGCTTTGTGACACTGTATGAGGGGAGAGGTCTGAGAGGGAACAATGCCACTTGCTCAGCTCTCTGTGGGCTTTCAGTCACTTTCTCTGCTACCCACAAGCAAATTGGGCCTTTCTAGTGCTGATTCCTGAGTGGGTGGGTTTGTGTGTGTTCTGGGACCCTATGGGTCTCTCCAACAAATGCTTCTGCGAGACTGGGAGTTTCTCCTGCTGCTGCAACACCCATACGTTTTACCTCCAGAGGTTTTGAGGCTTTCTTTTCCCTCACTGGAGTCCTGGATTGTGTGGTCTGTCCCTCCCCAGCTGTTCCTCATGGTTTATCCACACACAAATGTGCAACTGCCCCATTTGCCAGCTGCCACCTTGGCCGCCTGGTCCTCTAGCTGCTGCCGCCTGGCCATGTATCCTTTCTGCCCCAGCTGCCCGTCTGTGCCCCTCCTACCAGTCTGGATGAATGTTTCTTCTTTAGTTCCTTGGTTGTTGGACTTCTGCACAGCTCGATATTCTGGGAATTCTGGTTATTTTTTGTTTTTAAATTTGTTGATATCCTTCTTTTGGTTGTGCGTGGAGGCAAAGTGTACCTACCTATGCCTCCATCTTGGCCGGAAGCTGCCTGCTTCTTCTTCGTCTATCTGCAAATACAGTTGCAGCAGGATTCAGCCTCTCCCATTTGCTTGGGCGTCTATAGGTGTGGGTGTGGAGTGGCTATGGCAAATCCTGCTTCAGTAGGAATTGCAGTTTCTTTGTTTTTGAAATACGTTTAGAATTAATGGTTATACCACACATCTAGATACATACTTTATGTTAAAATATTTAGTTAACGATTAATGTTAGGTAGTTTTGTAGAATTTCAGATCATTATACAGTTGGTAACATACTACATCATCTAACAAATTTTCAGTGTGGATGCGTTCTGGCTTTTGCACTGCTCACACACTATGCACACTTGTCCTGATTGTTCACACCTCATGCTCAGCCATGGAGTCAGCATGCTGGTGCTTCCTTCTGATCACTCAGGCTTAGAAGAGGATCATCCTTTTTTTCTCAGGTGGAGTTTGAGGGCCTCAAGCATGAGATCAAGCGTCTGGAGGAAGAAACGGAGTACCTCAACAGCCAGCTGGAGGATGCCATCCGGCTCAAGGAGATCTCAGAGAGGCAGCTGGAGGAGGCATTGGAGACACTGAAGACGGAAAGGGAGCAGAAGAACAGCCTGCGCAAGGAGCTGTCACACTATATGAGCATCAATGACTCCCTCTATACCAGTCAGCTTCATGTTTCCCTGGAAGGCCTCAAGCTCAATGATGATGCTGAGACCCTGGCCAATGGCTTTGAGCACAGCTGTCTGGCCAAGCTGCCACTGGACAACAAGACCTCCACACCCACCAAGGACAGCCTGGCCCCGCCTTGCCCCAGCCTCGTGTCTGACCTCCTCAGTGAGCTTAATCTCTCCGAGATCCAGAAGCTGAAGCAGCAGCTGATGCAGGTGAGTGGGTGGGCAGGCAGGGAGGTCCACCTCTATTTCTGCCCCACCCCCGACAACACTTTGTTGATGTTACCTACGTTATCTCATATTTATCTTAAACTGTGTTGCTACGTAAGTGGAACTGCAGCATTACAGGTAGGAGGAACCCAGAGTAGTGGGCTCCTGCTTATGAGATTGAAGTCTCAGTGCTGCCCAAGGTGTTGTTATGTTCCCTCTGTGGTGCCCACTTGTAGTCTTCCTCTCTCTCTTTTGTGGGCACTTCACATCAGGATTTTGTGTCCCGACTGAATGGAATCCCAGGGTCTGTACCGTGGCCCTTCAATTTGCATGTCTCTGAGGAGGGTCGCACCTGGCCTCCCAAGCCTCCGGGCGGGGGGTGACCAACAATGGCCCCACACATGGCACCCCTACCCAGACATGTTACTGAACTCGGGGACAGGGTTACTGCAAAATCGTTTTATTTACTTGCAGCAATTAAAGGAGACGGAATTCATATCCGAAGCTCTGCCTCCCTCCCAGAAGGGAGGCTTAGCTATTGCTTATATGCATTATTTGGTCAATTACACATTGATTTCTTTGCAGGCATTTATCCTGTTCAGCTCCTGTCAAACTCATCTTAATTTACAGTTGTTTCTGCAAAATACTGTGCTACATTGTAACATATAGCAACAACAGCATTTAGTAAGAACTGCCCAGTCCCTGAGACATTTGTCCCGACAGTGTCACAGACAGGCCAACAGGGAGATGGGTGGGGTCATTACTGGGACTGTCTGGGGGTCCCTGCAGGCTCTTGACAGGCTCGCTCTATGCCGCTCTATGCCTTTTCAGATGGAGCGGGAGAAGGCAGGCCTGCTAGCAACACTGCAGGACGCACAGAAGCAGCTGGAGCAGGCTCGGGGGACCCTGTCAGAGCAGCGTGAGGAGGTGAACCGCCTCACGGAGAGCCTGAGTACTCTGCAGCGCCTGCAGGCTGGCAAGGAGCGGCGCACAGCCCTGGACAGTGAGAAGGAGCACGACAGCCATGAGGATGGTGACTACTATGAGGTGGACATCAATGGGCCTGAGATCCTGGCCTGCAAGTACCGTGTGGCTCTGGCAGAGGCTGGTGAGCTCCGGGAGCAGCTGAAGGCCCTACGCAGTGCACACGAAGCCAGCGAGGCTTGGCATGCGGAGGAGAAGGGCCGACATGAGGCCGAGAGCCAGGCGCTTACTGAGAAGGTGTCCCTGCTGGAGAAGGCCAGCTGCCAGGACCGTGAGCTGCTGGCCCGGCTGCAGACAGAACTGAAGAAGGTCAGTGATGTTGCGGGTGAGACACAAGGCAGCCTGAGTGTGGCCCAGGATGAGCTGGTGACCTTTAGCGAGGAGCTGGCCAGCCTCTACCACCACGTGTGCATGTGTAACAATGAGACACCCACCCGTGTTGTGCTGGACTACTACCGTGAAGGCCCAGCCGGCGCCGGCCACTGCAGCCCTGAAGCACGCGGGCACCGCTCACCAGTCTTGCACAAAGGACCATTGGCTGCAGAGGCTGGGGCTGGGGATAGCAGCCCCTCGCTACCCTCACCCCTGAGTGATCCGCGCCGGGAACCTATGAACATCTACAACCTGATTGCCATCATACGTGACCAGATCAGGCACCTGCAGGCAGCTGTGGACCGCACCACGGAGCTGTCGCGGCAGCGCCTGGCCTCACAGGAGCTGGGTCCTGCCACAGATAAGGACCGGGAGGCACTTATGGAGGAGATCCTCAAGCTCAAGTCTCTGCTCAGCACCAAGCGGGAGCAGATCACCACACTGCGCACAGTGCTCAAAGCCAACAAGCAGGTGCATACTGTGCTTGGTCCAGTGGGAGGTTGGTGGGGGCTCCTTACTCTCCCCAGCACCTCAGGGCCTACGTCATCACAGGTCAGCTCAGGGCTCAGATTGTGGATCATGTTGTTCATGCTGCCTGAGGTGAGAGCCTCAACTCAGTGTTGTCGGGAGGAGCTGGGTGCTGAGGGGCCAGGCAGGTTGTAGTCTTGGCCTGTAACAGGGAGGCCCCTCCCGTTCTCCCTACCCATGCACCCTGTGTGTCTTTGACCCCCAGACAGCTGAGGTGGCCCTTGCCAACCTGAAGAGCAAGTATGAGAATGAGAAAGCTATGGTGACTGAGACCATGATGAAGCTACGCAATGAGCTCAAGGCCCTCAAGGAGGATGCAGCCACCTTTTCCTCGTTGCGTGCCATGTTTGCCACCAGGTAACACTGACTGTTCCTGTTGCTGCTTAACTGGTGGCCCTGTAGCTTGGTGCTGGGGGATGTGCCATTTTTGCTGTTTGTGAAAACCCAGAGGGCACAGGTTGTGTCCACTATACATGTAAGCTGAGGAAGCTGGGGCTCCCTAGTGGCCAGCCTGCTGGTGAGCAGGTTACACAGGTAGATTTTAGGGCCAAATGAGGATTGTTACCCAGAACTTGGATGGAAGTTTGTGAATTAAGAAGCAAGGCTTTTCTTACCACCAACCCTCCCCGCTCCTAGTACCCCCAACACTGCCAGAGATTGGGGTTGGGGGGTTGGGCGTGGAGGGTGGTGGTAGAAGCAAAGCTATGGGCCTGTGGGGAAGTTGACAGCTTCCTGGTGTTTCTGCTACCCAGTGGGGCATGGTGCTATCTGCTGACTGGCTTCAGGCAGGTCCTGGATGGCCCCTAGATGGTCCAGGTGTATTCCCAGGATAAGCGGGGTAGCAACTGAGCTCAGGAACTGCTTTTCCTCACTCTGGGTGAGGTGCTGGGTGATCCCACTTCCCAGAGGGGAAGGGAGAAGACAAAGTTAGTTCCAGGCTTCTTAGAAGCTTCCTGTCTTGGGCAGAATGCTTGGGAAGGATCTGTTAGTCCCTCAGCGCTGATATGTTGACCCTCACTTCCTCAGCTTGTTTTAAAGATCTGACTTCTCCAATGGAGCTGAGATCACAAACCCATTCGTCTCTGGGCGAGAGCTAAAATTCACTGTTGGCCCTGGGCCCTGGAGAAGGGAGAGTTGTGGCAGGCAGGCATGCCTAATACCCCCTCTGCCCAGGCCCCACTCTGTGCTTCTGGATACAGGCCCTGGGTGTGCTGCTCTGTGTCCCCCAGTTCCATATTCAGGTGGGGGTGTGGTCACATGTCACAGTTAAGCAGAAGCTAAAATGGGCTGTTCACACACCTACATGAACCCTTCCCAGGCTTTGGTTCACCATTTGGTGCAGATTTACTGAACACCTCCTGGGTGGATGTGCTAATCTGGGAAAAACAAAGTCCTTTCCTTGGACTTACCCCTATATTCTGAGAGCCAGGTAATGTCTTGCCTCTAACCAGCTGCCCCTGGGTTACCTGAAGGCCTTGCCTCCCTCAGTGAAAACCAGCTTCATAGAGTCCTTCCCAGGGAAAGCCAGACTGCTGAGGGGGGCAGGGCCTCTTCTTCCAGCCCAATGAGCAGAGGGGCCCCATTGAGGTCCCCTCACCAGTGCTCATGTCCCCTGCCTGGGTCCTTCAGCCATGCTCTCACCTTTGATGTCCCCACAGGTGTGACGAGTACATCACGCAGTTGGATGAGATGCAGCGGCAGCTGGCAGCTGCTGAAGATGAGAAGAAGACACTCAACTCACTGCTGCGCATGGCCATCCAGCAGAAGCTAGCACTGACCCAGCGGTTGGAGTTGCTTGAGCTGGACCATGAGCAGACCCGACGGGGCCGTGCAAAGGCTACCCCCAAAGCCAAGCCCAGCACCCCTAGTGTAAGTCACACCTGCGCCTGTGCCAGCGACAGGACTGAGGGCACTGGGCTCGCTGCCCAGGTGCTCTGTGGTGAGAAGTATAACATTTGCTGCGACTAGGGCCTCAGGGCTGCACACCGCAGCTAACCTGTTGCTGCCACCTGTCTGCTTCACCTCAACTAACCCAGCAGCAGCGGGACCGCGGTGCTAGGCTGGTCTTAACCATGACTAACGCACAGAAGGAAGGATTTAGCTGAGATGGTGTGCTGCTCCACCTGGACAGTGCAAGCTAGGTGTCTGCTTCTCATCCCCTGGGACCACCCTTCACAGCAGCTGCTCTCTTGTTGGGGTGGGGGTGGGGGTCAAGGTGGGGTTGGAGCCATTAGTCCTTGGGAAAATACGACTTCCCAGGGTCCAGGTGTCATCAGCTCTGCTGATGAAACCTGCATGCATCTAAAGTAGCTGTGCTGCCCCAGCACCCAGGGAGCAGTGTTAAGAGGTTCTAGCTGGGTTCCAGCTGCTGCCTCAGAGGACAGAGGATTACTCTGTAGTTTGTGCACCATCTCACTACAAATTCTATTCAGGAGAAAAGGATAGAATTTCTCCCCTAAACCCAGAGAAAGAGCAGCCCTGAATCCTCCAGCTCAGATGTACACATGATCTGAGCAGTGGTCACAGTCACACCTTGCTACACTCTGAGACCAGAGCTCAAAACTTCGGCTTCTCTGAGATTCCTCACTGGTCTGGTGTCCAGTGAGGTGACATATTAGCAGGCCCACAGCCTGGGGTTTTTCCAATGAGAAAAATCCCAAGTGCCTGACTAGACTCGTGTCCCTGGGGGAAGCCTGTCCTTTGTATTTAGGGGGTCCCAAGCTTTCAGAGCTGTTTCTCCACCCTATGTCCATAATCAGGCCTTCCTCCAAGAGGGGCTTTTAGACCCTAAGAAACAGTACTTTGAAAATCCCCAGCTGCAGCTGAGGCCAAGCCCAATGTGGGAAAGGAGACTTGTGTGGGCCCAGTGCCAGTTTGAGGATTCACTGAGAGGGATGTGGTTCTTCTGAATCAGTGTAATTGCAGGGATGGTGACAGAAAGGAAAGGCAGCTGTGGGCTCCTCCTGTTGCCAGCTGTATCCACACCAGAGCTTTGATGCATGTGGAAACAGGACCTTTCTCAGTGTTTATCTCCCTTTTACCCCATGAGGGCCACCAGGTATGAGGCTACAGTCCTCTCCCTGAAGGATTCTTTGTGGCCTAGGGAGGGGGGTTACATTGCTCTCTTACACAGGTGTCTACTCCAACACCACCCTTCCCCTTGGTTCCCTAGTGTGTCTTAAGTCCCACCAGACTCCAGATGCTGCATAGACCACCTTGGGTTTTGCAAACCACGGGAGTGGAGAGGTGTGGGTTGGGCACACCTGTCCCCTCTGCATGTTTGTCCATGGCTTTGGACTGCTTTGCTGGTGGGATATTGGTCTTGGATTCCCCTCCTACTAGAGAAGGAAGGAGTCAGTTCCCTCCTACCCCTGTGCAGGCAGGACTTCTGGAGAACTGGGCTCCACACACCATTTCTGCTCCCCTAGCTGAGCCCAGCATGCAGCTTTCCTCTATACTTTTATCTTCATGAGGTACTTGGAGCTGGAGGCTTCCTTAACATACGCAAGTCTTCTCTGCTGCTGACTAACACACCCACGCGCTCACAGCTCGGCAAGAGCTTTAGTTACCCAACAGGTGACTGGTTCTAACGCTGTCTTGTTTTCTCCCGTTTTTCAGCTGTAGATTAGCTGCCGGGAGAACTCAGCCACCGGCCCTGTCACACTGCAACCCCTCCCCTCCCCTCCCGTGGGCCCACGCAGAGGAAGGAAGGGCAGCCTAAAAGTCCACTTAGAAACATTTTTGGATATACCACTGCAATTCTTTTCAAAATAGCATTCCTGAGTTTTTAATGGCAGAGGAGTAAAGCTTTAATGTTCAGAAAGCCAGCCGCCGCTGCTTGGAAAGGCCTTTGTACAAGTGCTTGAAGAACCTGCTGGGACAGCAGCCACCAGGCTCACTTAGGAACCCGCTAGAATCGCTCACCACTGGGGTCCCCCTATTACAGACACTCCTTTTTCATTTGATCAACCTGTGCACTTTTAATATTTTTGATATTATATTTGATTCCTTAATTCCTCACATAGAGATGGTCTCCAGTGCCGTGGTCTGTCTTGTTCTGTAGCACCACGTCTTAGCTCCTGACATGCTGATCTGACATCAGCTTGTGGCATCAGCTAGTGTGCAGCTCTAGAATGTTTAGATAAAGCCTTTGACCCGGCAAGGAGCTTGGCTAAATATCCATGCTGTGGTTCAGCAGCCTTTTCGATTATACGGCATTGTGGTTCACGTTTGAAATTTAACAGTTTTTAAATGCCATGTTCATTAAGAAATCCAGGGTTTTCTGATTCTGGGGTTTTTCATATTGTATTATTATTCTTAGGAATAGTTCGATGTAACAAGAAGAAAACTTGACCTTTGTTCTGGTTAAACAGTTATAGGCACTTGAAAACAAAAAATATAAATTATTGAATGACTAGTATTACCTACACATACCAGAATTTTCTGGGTTTTAAGATGTTGTGAAGCATGACTGATTAACAGAATTTTATACAACTGTACCAGTGAAATTCCAAATTGGAATTGTTTTGTTACTCTGGTTGTAGTGCCAAATTGTGGTACACTTAGAAAATTCTACAGTTGTCAAATTCTAAGGTGTTCTATTTCAACACCTTTTAGTAATCATTGCCAGTAGTGCCTTCATCAGTTAAGGGAGGTGTCCCAGCATAGTTATTCTCTAAAATGGACAGTGAAGAGCTAGTTGGGAATGTTGAAGGCCAGTGTGGACCAATAGGTGTGAAAAGGCATACATCTTCACACCTGAACCTGGGCATCTTCGTTGAGGGAAAGAAAACAGCAATTGTGTAAAATTCTGTTAGTCAGTGATTCTTTACTGTGCAGATCCTTGGAAATTCAGGGGCTGAGGAACGGAAGTGAACATAAACCTTGAGTGTGCTTTTGGGAACCAAATGGACTTTATAGGACAAGCTAAGCAAGTGGTGTGAGTAACATGCCATGTTTGTGAAGAGCCACTGGGCAGCAGGGGAGATGGTGCTGTCAGCCTCATGCAGTGGGGTGAGGGCTAGACATAGTATTCTTTGCAAATGTGAGAAAAAGATGTTATATATTCTCTTGCTTGGTGTAACTAATCACTTAATTTCAGGAAACAGAACTTGCTAAAGCTCCTTAGCAAACCAGGTCTGTCCAGTTCGATGAGATTGTGTGAATGGGCAAATTGGTACTCAAAGAGGAAGAACAAGTGTCCTCCCTCCTCCAAAATAAAAGACAAATTATAATTAGTTGAAGAGTTCTGTTTCCTGGAATGAGCATTTCTGATTCCTAGTTGTAGGGACCCCTATTTTTACTTTCTATTACAGTGTTGATTCATAAGAAATGTTACATTTACAACTTCATCTATTTGGGGTATTTATTTGCAATGATGTCTGAGTACTGTATTCCCCCCCGCCCCCATGCATTGTCAGAGTGTTGTCTTTATTAAGATCATATGCATGTTTTCCTGCTAAGGAACCTTTACACAGACCCACACAAATAAACAACAATGGCTTCAGATTCTGAGGAAACGAGGCAGAGGATAGATAAGGAAATAGAAGGAGAAATCAGTCATGACTTAAGACACAGACATGGCATGAAAAGGCCTCAAAGCCACTGCATATAGCAACAGTGGGCCTGGGTGAACGGTCGTGTTGGTAGGACAAATAAATAAATACAAAGATAAAGCACAAAGCTTATTCTCTCTGGCTGCTTTGATCCCCTGCCCAAGATGACTGGGTCTGGCAATGCACTGTAATGCCAGCACCTAGAACAACAGAACCAGCCTACTGGAAATCTTGGTGGTGGGAGCTGGAGGCAACCTTCAGTACAAATTGGTAGGGAGGGGAGGAGGAAGGGGTGCTTCCTGCAATGAGCATCAGGTGTCCTGAGTACCCAGCACTGTGGCAGTGAGAGCATATTGCCTTCACACCATCCTGACCAGAAAGTAAAGAGATTTGGATAACAAAGGACCCTTTGCTGTCTAAACTCTTGCTCACTGATTCCAGGAACAACCAGTTCCAGGCAACAAGTTACTTGTAATCAAAAACCATATTCATCTGCAGGAATATGTGCAAGGCATGTTGACTCTGGTGATTGCTTATGGTTGGTAAGTATAGGGGATACACCCTGGCTGAGGGAACAGGAAGTCCCTGGGATACTCTGCCGCTCCTTCTACTGAGCCTCAGTCAGGGCTGAGCAACTTCGCCCAAACCTCAGGGTGAAGGCCATCTGAGGCCAGAGTCTCCTGCCCTGGCATCTCCCCAGGACCCCTCCCTCTCACCTGGGATTTCTCCTGGCCTTGTGGTTACTACTGGCCCCTTCCTCTATGATCCCCATCCCTCTTTAGTAGCAGTGGCCTGAACCTATCTTCAATTTGAAACTTTTTTCAAAGAGACTGTTTTTCCTCACTCTGTAGCTAGAAAAATCTTCCTTCCCTACTGGCCCATATTATTCCACCAGATCCCTGAAAGAGGTTTGAGACTAGAGCCTGCAGCAGATCTGGAGGAACCTCCCCCCTCACCTCAAAGAGGAGCAGACATTCGCAGTGGGCCAAATAGGGGTAGGCCCCTTTCCAGATGGGGATACCATCTGGCCCTTGGCTCCTACCACCTGTGTGGCACATTGTGGCCCCAGCCCAGTCCCACATTTTGGAGTGTGTGATCTTCACAAACCCAGATGGCAAGACCTTCCCCCCACCCTGCCCCCAGGCACTTGTGCTCTGGGTCCTTGCACATGTGGCTTTTCATTTCACAGGTGGAATGGCAGCCTCCAAAGTGGGCAGTATCTCAGGAGCCTGTGGGAGAGAGGGGGCATTTGGTGCTGAAAAGACTATTCAACCTTCCCCTCCAATAGGGGACGTCTCTATTTCCACCATCTACTTTGTCTTCCTGTAGCAATTTTCACCCCTACTTCCCAGAGCTCAAACCAACAGTGCCAGCTTGGAAACACACCTTCAGCTGAATTGTCCCCTTTTGGTAGCTGACTGATCCTGGCTGACAACCTCACTGTGCCTCAGTTTCTCCTCTGTAGGTTGGGGAATGTAGTTCTTTGTTTAAAGGTTGTTGTGAAGCTTCACCAAGCCCTAGGTATCCCGCATGCCGCAAATACTTAATGGATGGGTGTTGCTATTACGGTTCTTGCTGCCACTGTCATTATTACTAAGATCTAAGGTGCTAGGCCATGGAGCTGCACTTTGGTCCCATAGGGAGTGTGATTTTTAAGTCAGCTTTTTGCCAAAACAGTTTGCATTTAGGAAAGTGTGCATCCTAACATATAGACCAGATGGGCATACAGGAAACATCTGTGTGACCAAAAAGCCACAGAGTTCCTAGAAGTGCTTCTTGGGACACATTAACGGAATGCCTCTTTCTGCTGGCCCTGGTGAGGTGCTGGGAGAAGAGATGTGCTAACGTTCTGACATCACCTGGTATGGGATTTTGGTAGGAATGGGCTGCCATCAGGTTTACCTCTGTGCTCAACTTTCAGCTATATCCTAACAGCAGAGCTGTAAGGTCTACACCTTGTCATTTTGTCAGGTTTCTTGTGGGTAAGGACACTGGCTCTTGTTAGTTCACTTTGGTTCATTCAGGATCCTACCTTTGTAAGACCAAGTCCCTAGGGTGAAGTCCTCCACCCTGTGGTGGGGCTCCTTCCCCTAAGCTGGAAAACACTTTATTTACCCTAAAGTGTTTGTGAAGCGTAGCACACACACGTAAGGGGGAAAACAATTGTCTGCTAGCTGGATTCCTGCAAAATTAACACACTGCAGCCACCATCCAAATGAAAAGCAAATGAGGGCAGCCCCCTCAAAGTCCTCATACTCTCTGCACCCATTCTTCCTGCCAGGGAAAACTCCCTCAATCTGTCAATGTAGATAACTTGTACCTATTTCTGTACTTTATATAAATGGAAGCATAAAATAGAGACCTAGAGCTTCAGTAGATTTTACTTACCAAACCTCGTTGATTGCTCACACCATCATTGAACTATGCATGTCTAGGTGACTCACTAGATTCAATGATATAATATAAATTAGTTGAATGTACAGGAATGGAAAAATAGATTCCCCGCAAAGAGTAGTCAAAACAGGAATGGTTACACTAATAGATAACATGAAAGTTGTTAAGAGAGATAAAGAAGAACGGATAATGATAACAGGGTCAACTCCATCTAGAAGGTCAATTATAAACACATGCATCAAGCAATAGAGCCCAAAACTGCCAGAATTGAAGGGAGAAATAGCTGAAATACAATAGTTAAGAGACTTTAATACCCCACCTTCAATTACAGAGCAAGACAAACTATAAAGAAATATAATAAGTAGGACTCTAACCCAAGATTTCCTGAACAGAACCGTAAGCCAAACTTAGTAACCAACAACAGAAAAATACATCTTAAGTGCATATAGAACGTTTTCCAGGGTAAAACGTATTTTAAGCCAAGGACAAGTCTCAATAAGTTAAAGAAGAGAAATTATACAAACATTATTGTCCAATGACAATGGGATAAAATTAGAAATAATGTAGAATTCACAAATATGTGTAAATGATACAACGCATTTTTATTATTTTTTAATCCTTACCTGAGGACATGCTTATTGATTTTAGAGAGGTGGGAATGGAGGAGGGGAGAGAGGGAGAGAAATATTGATCGACTGCCTTTAGTACGTGCCCTGACTAGGGACCAAACCGCAACCTAGGCATGTGCCATGACTGGGAATCAAACCTGCTGCCCTCCAGTTATGGGATGACATTCCAACCAACTAAGCCACACTGGCCAGGGCCAAAATAACACACTTCTTAATAACAGTGGGCTGAGGAAGATAATGAGAGGAAAGACAAATAGCACTCCAATCAATAATCTAACTTCCCATCTTACAAAACTAGAAAAAGAACAACAAACTAAGCCCAAAGCAAGCATAGGAAATGAAATAAAGCAATAAAGAGTGGACATAATGAAACAGGAAATGGTGGGGGGCGGTGGAGAGCAACAAAACCAAAAGCTCTTTAACAAGATGAGCAAAAATGACAAGACCTTTACATGAGAAAAAAACAAGGTATGGCAAAAATTACAAATGAAAATGGGAGAAATTAGTTCTGAATTTATAGAAATACCAAGTGTTATAATAGTACTGTGAGTAATTTTACACCAAAAAAAGAAAAAAAAAAGGATAATCTAAATCTAAACCAAGCAGAGAGAAATACTAAAGGTTATAGCAGAGATAAATGAAATAGAGAAAATCAAGAAAAGCAAAGGTAGTGTCCTAGGAAATTGACAAACCTTTAGCAAGACAAAAAACAGACAACTCAGATTACTGTAACTGGCAATGAAAATGGAGACATTACTAATGGTTTTACATAAATAAAAAAAGATTATAACAATGTCAACAAATTAGATAACTTTAATGAAGTAGTAAATCACTAGAATCACACCAACTACCAAAGTGACACCAAAGGAAATAATTTTTTTTTAACCCTCACACAAGGATATGTTTATTGATTTGAGAGAGGGGGGGAGGGGGGGAGAGAGGGAGAGGGAGACACACTGATATGAGAGAAACATTGATCGGCTGCCTTCTGCATGTTCCCTGGCTGGGACTCAAACCCGCAACTCTCTCATGGACTGGATGATCCTCCCACCAACTGAGTCACCTAGCCAGGGCCAAAGGAAATAACAGACCTATAACAAGAAATTGAATCAATAATCAAAAATCTAACAACAGGATTTCTGATTTCTGGTCCAACCTATAAAGAGCTTCTAAGTAATGACTTTGTCAAAACAGTAAGTAAAAAGCAGAACAAATGGAAAAACAAACAACTCTTCTTGATCCATCATAGACATGAGGATACAGGGTACCACTGCCCCCAAAACTGTAGAGACAGGTACAGAGAATTACAACTTTCCTGAACAGTTATAACCAGTTTCCCTGGGGAAGAAAACCTAAACTGTAATAAACAAATTTCTGGGGGCTCAGTGTAGACAAGTATGAAAGATAAAAGCTCCAGGAGCCCCAGTCATGTAGGGGATACCTCACATTTAAGTGAGTTTTACCTCCAGGATCTCTACCAGTTTCCCACAGTGAAGACTGGGGAAAAACACCCTTAGGCTTCCAGCAGCAGATGGGAAAAGTGGCAATTCTGAAACACCCTACAGCATTCTGTTCTTTCTAACCAGGCCTAGCTTCCAGACAAACTACTTTACCACAGTGACTAATGTGTGGGGGAGGAAAATACCTAACTCCAGACTTCTGGCCATACCTGACCACCAAAAGGGTGAAAAGAAGAGAAGAGTGTGAGGCACAAGGACACTAAAAACAGATTAATCACAGTTCCAGAGAATGCTTCCCCTGCCCCAATTTGTTGTTATATCACTAAAAGTTCCCTTTCCTCAGTAAAGCAAGTCTGGCTTTCAACAAAAACTTAGGAATAATAAAATGAAAAAAAAAACAAAAAACAAAAGAAAAACCCCCACCACACTTTGAAGAGACAGAGCAAGCATCAGAACCAGACTTATATATGGCAAGAATGTTGGAAGTGCCTGACCAAGCATTTGAAATAACTTAATTAATACACTGAGGGCGGAAATGGAAAAGAGAAACAACATATAAGAGCACATGCAGAAAGATGGATTAATCTAAGAAAGAATAAAAAACTGGAAATTAAAAAACACTGTAAGAAATAAGGAAAGCCTGTCCTGGCCAGTGTGGCTCAGTTGGATGAGCATTGTCCTGCAAACTGAAAAGGTCACGGGTTTGATTCCAGATCAGGATACATGCCTGGGTTGCAGGTTTTGTCCTCAGGGAGCATGCAGGAGGCAGCCGGTCGATGTTTCTCAAAGATGTTTCTCTCCCTCTCTTTCTCCTTCCTTTCCCCTCTCTCTAGAGTCAATAAAAAAGAAAAAAATAATTAAAAAGCCATTGGTTGGCTCATTAGTAAACTGGACATAGCTGAAAAAAGACTCTCTGAGGGTATGTCAGTAGAAACTTCTAAAACTTAAAAAGAAAAAGGACTAAAATATGAAAAACAGTATCCAAGAACTGTGGGACAACTTACAAAAGGTGTAATAGACACAAAATGGGAAAACCAGAAGAAGAAAGCAAAAGGAAGAGAAGAATATTTGAAGCCAACAGTGACTGAGAATTGCCCAAAATTTTCAGACACCAAGCCACAGATCCAAGAGGCTCAGAGAACACCAAGCAGGATAAATGCCAAAATAAAACTATACAGGCATACGATACTCAAAGTGCAGAAAATGAATCTTAAAGCCCGGCGGGGTGGGGTAGAAGGCAGGGCACAAAAGCTTACCTATAGCAAAGCAAAAATAAGTATATCCAACTTCTCAAAAACCAGTGGAGTGAAATATTTAAACTGGTGAGACCAAAACAAACGAGTATTCTGTATCTATGAAATTATTCTTGAAAGGAAAAGAATAAAGACTTGCTCAGACAAACAAACATTGAGGGATTTTGTTGCCAGTAGACCTTCCTTGCAGTAAATGTTAGGTTTTTCAGAGAGAAGGAAAGCTACATAAGACAGAAATTCAGATCAACATAAAGGAATAACATTAGAGAAGAAATAAGTAAAGGTAAAACGAAAACTTTTTATTGTTACTTGATCTGATAACAGTTTGTTTAGAATAGCTATAATGTGTTTAATAATTATAGACATGTATAAGTAAAAGGAATGACAGCAATGGTACAACAGGAGAGAAGAATTAAGAATATTTTGTTATAAGTTACTTGCATTACCTGTGAAGTGGTATAGTGTTATTTGAAAGTGGGCTTGGTTAGTTGTAAATGTATTTTAGAAACTCTAGGGCAAGCAATAAAAAAAGTAAAAAGAAAAAAAAAAAAGATATGCCAAGAAAGGGAGAAGGCCAAAATAGGAAGAAAGAACAGGGCAATAATCACTTTAAACATTAATGGTTACATCAATTAAAAGGCACTGTCAGAGTGGACCAATAAAAAAGACCCAACTATATTATAGGTTGTCTCCAAAAAACCCACTTTAAATAAAAGACATATAATTTAAAAGTGAAGGGATGGAGAAGATACACCATGCTAACTCTAATGAAAAGAAAGGGGGTGATAGCTATATTAATTTCAGATGTAACAAACTTTTTTCCTTAAGAGCAAGAAAAGTTTACAGGGATAAAGAGGGGTATTACATAATGATAAAGGGGTCAATTCTCCAAGACATAAGAGTCCTTAACGTATGTGCACTTAACAGCAAAGTATATCAGCAAAAGCTGAGAGGGCTGCAAGAAGAAACAGATGAAATCACTATTTCAGTTAAGAGACCTGACCATAATTTTATCAGAAATGGACAGATCCAACAGTCAGAAAATCAGCAAGGACATATTTGAACTCAACAGCACTATCAATTGGCTGACAACTGCAGACTATTCAACAACAGAATACAATTCTTCTCAAGCCCACATAGAACATTTCCCAAAATGGACCACATTCTGAGCCTTAAAATACACTTTAACAAATTTAAAAGAATAGAAATCATTCAATGTCTGCTCTCAGACCACGGTGGAATTTAACTAGAAATCAGTAACAGAAAGAATAACCCTCAAGTACTCGTAGATTAAATAATACACTAATAAGTAATACGTGGTTCAGAGAAATCTCAACAGAAATATTAATTAAAAATTAAAAATAACTTGAAATAAATGAAAGCTAAAATGAAAATACAACTTACCAAAATTAGCAGTATGCATTAAGGCAGTGTTTTGAGGGGAATTTATAGCACTGAGTGCATATATATTTTGGGGGGGAACCCTGAAACCAGTAATCGAAGATTCCACTTTTGGAAACTAAAAAAAGAAGAGCACTCTAAATCCAAAGTAAGCAGAGGAAAAAATAAAAATTAGAGCAGAATCAATAAAATTGTAAATAAGAAACCAATAGGAAAAAAAATTAAGTAAAAGCTAGTTCTTTGAAAAGATCAGTAAAATTGATACTCTAACCAGGCTAAGGAAAACAAAGGACAAGTACTAATATAAGAAATAAAAGGGGACATCAGTTCAGATCCCCGGGACATCAGAAGGATAATAGAAGAATATTATAAATAATTATGTCCACAAAATTAATAACCTTCCAAAAATAGCACTGGGCCGAGATTGGTTCGCTGGTAAATTTTACCAAACATTTACGGAACAGATTATACCAATCATCTATAATCTCTTCCAGAAGACAAAAGCAGGGAGAATATTGATTTCAACACTACTATAAAGCTACAATAATCAAGATGGTGGGGAACTGGTAGGGAGGAAAAAAAACCCCAGAAAATCAAAAAACATCCATGGAACAGAATAGAGAACAGTACTGTAACCACTCTACACTGTAATCTACAGGCAAAAAGTGAGTCCAGGCACAGACCTCATTCTTCCGGGGAGCCTGGGTTTCGCCTCCCCGTAGGGTCTCTCATCTCTGGGCAACCGGGATCCCTCCAGCACGGGTACGCTTGAATCCCAGCTTTTCGCACCGCCACTCCAAAAACGGAGGCTCCTCAGGCTTGCTGCGCTTCCGGCGCCGAGGCGGAAACGTCACTTCTGGTTTTGAGGACCTCGCTTCCGGAAGAGACCCTGTACCCGCACCTAAGATGGCCGTTGGCCCATCCGTCGGTGTGGTAAATGGAGGAGAAGCGGACTCAAGCCCGGAAGTTGCCCGACTCTGCCATGGCCCTGCGGGGGGCGTGGCTTCCGGTGGCCAGCGCCTGCGAGTCCGGGGTGGCCGGGTCCAGCGTAGGCAGAGGCTGACAGACGCTCGTCCGACGACGACGGCGCCGCCGGTGCCCAGGCGGACTGGCGACCCCCAGCTCGCGGCCTTACGAGGCGCCAGGGCCGCACTGGGGGATGGACAAGGGGAAGATGGACGAGAATGAATGGAGATACCACGGCGAAGGCAACAAGAGCCTGGTTGTGGCCCACACTCAGGTAAGCGACGGACGGTCGGCTTGGTCCGGGACCCTCACCCTGCCCTGAGTCCTTTCCACCTTTCCAAGTTCCAGCCCCGCCCGCATCCCCCGCACTCCCGCACCCGTCAGTGCAGCTCGATTCTGCGTCCTCCCAGACCTCCCCCAACTCCGGGTCGTTTCCGGGTCCCCCAGTGTCACCTCCCCCCCTCCCAGGTCAGCACCGCGTCCCCGCAGAGTGTCATAGTCTCTCCATGGGTTAATTTTGCATCCCCACATTGTCACGCCCTCTCTCCTGTTCAGTTCCTATTCCCCTCAGCATCACCCACCCCTCGGGTCCCCTCCGCGACGCCCCAGGGTCACCCCCCGCCCCGGAGTGAATTCCGCATTACCCTAGTGTCACCACCCCTTTGGTCAGTTCCTTGTCCGCCAGGCTCCCACCGTGTTCTTCTGTGTGGTCCGTGCCCTCTCGGGCTGTCCAGCTGCTGTGGGGCGAAGGTTGCGCTGGAAAGTCGCCCGCTGGGATGGAGGGTCCTGGCAGTTCTAGAGGAAGGAGTGAAGTGCCCGGGGTGCTCTTTATCGCTCAGCACCAAGGAAGTTTGGTCTCTGAGACACCAAAATTGCTGTTATGCCGCGGCTGCTGCTCTTGATAATAATAGAGTATTGCCCATAGGTTGTTTTGAAGAATTGAGTTTCTCTTTCTTAATTCTCCTGTTCTTACTCCTCCGTTTCTTAAGTGAGGGTGAGAATTTCAGAAAGTGCTATAAGGACTCCCATGGAGAATATTCCAGGAAGAGAAGCTTGTGGATTTCTATGAAGGCCGGGATCTTTCTGACATCCTGCAGTCTGATACAAGTGACAGGAATGTAGTGGGCTGGGAGAAGGGTTAAGAACATGGGAGTTGGAGTCTCACAGAACAGGGCAGAATCACTGTTCTGCCACTGCCTGGCCCAGGCTTCTGCATCTGAAAAGTGTATTAGTAACAACACCCCCTTTGTGGAATTGCTAGAAAGATGAGGTGAGCAGGAGCTGGACAAGTTATACTTAACAAGTGAGGTTAAGAGCTCTGACCCAGTCCAAGAGCTCCAACGGAATGGTGCAGGCCATGGGTGGTGCCTTGCTGTGCCATTCCAGTGCTTGGTGCGCTAGGTCAGCTGTAGGGTAAATTGCAGTCACTCAGGTGGCCCCTATGTTACACCTTTGCATGTGGTTACCCATTAGCACAATCAGGAAACTTAACTGAGACCATAGGCTTTGCTTAAGATCTTTAGATGAATTAATGATGGACAAGGCTGAAGCCATTCTTCTCTGTGCAGCCTGCTGCACCCCATTGTGCTTCAAGGTCAGGTGAAGCATAGGACATTCCAGCAGAGTTCCTTTTGTTTTTGGGCTATTGTGGTTATAAGAAAATGTTCCTACCAAGTGAAAACACTGAATAAGAAAGGACTGTGCCCCTTGGGTATGAAGAAGGCTTTATACTTTGCCTGGGCCGTGAATACCAGGAGGAGGCAAGAGTCCTGGAAGGCAGCCTTTCAGGTCTGTGCTGTGCCCAAGAAGAGGATGTGTATGTGAGTGGGATTGAGGGAAGGTGGACAACTGAACACAAGGATTCCCTCACCTGCAAGTGGACTCCGCAGACCCAAGCCCTTAATTCCAAGGTAGAGAGCTGGCTTTGCCACATTTTTCCCAGATCAGGAGACAATCACTCTCTTTGAAAGGGCATAATTTACTTTCAAATTGAAAGGTCTCTAAAAAGTGACTAACGCTGTGTGCTTTCAGGGCAGCCAGTCTTGGGGTCTGGTGTCTGCACTGAAGGAACATGAGATGAAAAACAGCCAGCCTTCCAAGCTGGTGAGTCAGGGGCTTTGAGGAACATGAGCCTTGTAAAATGGAGCCTTGGGATGGAAGAGCTAAGTCCAGGCTGTAGCATGGGGGTGTACTCAGGGCTGAGCAGTAAGAAAGGACATGGTGACACCCTAATGGCAGACAAGTTCCTGGCAGGTTGCTGTCAACTTCCCCCATGGTGCCTTTAGGCATCCTGTGTCTCTTTCCAAGTTCCTGCCCCGCCCGCATCCCCCGCCCTCCCACACCCATCAGTGCAGCTCGATTCTGTGTCCTCCCAGACCTCCCCCAACCCCGGGTCGTTTCTGGGTCCCCCAGTGCCACCCCCCCTCCAGGTCAGCACTGCGTCCCCACAGAGTGTCATAGCCTCTCCATGGGTCAATTTTACATTCCCACATTGTCATGCCCTTTTTCCTGGACAGTTCCTGTTCCCCTCAGCATCACCCACCCCTCGGGTTGAAATACCCTCAACCTGGTGCTTAGCACCCTTGGGTCCGGCAGTGCAGTTTAACCCTTTCCCAGGTATTGGGCCTTATCTCTGGTGCTGACCCTCTGAGGTGCTCCAGGGCTCTGGCCAACTTGGCACTGTGCCCCAGTGGGTGCCTAGAGGTCCAGGCACTGACTTCATGAAAGGTATTGGGCAAGGGCATTTCCGTTGTGGGCAAGCAGAGGTGCTGTCACTTGTTCTGGTGACCATGTCACACTTCTGCTCACTCTGAGCTGTGCTTAGTGAAGCCTAGGGCTGCCCTTTTGGGTGCTGCTAGGATATCTGTCTGTGTGGTGTCATGGCTTTCACATCTGCAACTTACCCTTCTTCACCTTTGTCCTGTTGGCTTGGTTCAGTGTCCTGTCCTGTGAAGGTCACCATAAGTCTGGTTTGTAATTTGATCTAAGTGTCCTCTGGTGGTGGGACTCCCTTGGGGCAGGCCAGGCAAAGAGTCGTCAACAGGCCTTGAGCTGCCCTCCAGCTGCCCTCATGGGGTACAAGGCAAACAGTGGCTCCTTCCCATCATCACTCTAAGCTGTTGTGACAGAGGTAATATGAAAGACCTGCCAACAAAGATCACTTATCAGAAGCATGAAGGAAGCTGCTCATGTCTCATCTTTCAGGTTTTATACCCTTTCTAAGATTCTGTGGGCCTGGTGTTTTTGATGCCCTGTGGTGTTTATCTGGGTCCTGAAGATATGAGGTTCCAGTAGTCAGGGCCCACCTGACTGTTTCCTTCTTGTCTTGAGTTTAAGGATTTCTGGTTTGTAGATCATGTACATGTTGGAAGCAAATAAGAGTTGTTCCGTTCTGGTTTTTTGTTTTTGTTTTTTTTAAATAAGACTTTTACCAAGTCCTGGGCCCCTCCCTTCTTTAATTTTCTCCTCAATCTATTTGAGTCTTAACTTTTTGTTGCCTCCAGTAGTATCTTAAACAAGTAACTGAGTCTATGTTTGAGATTTTTAATATTATCCATACAGGTTGATACAGCTGATGTTTCTTTTGTGGTAAGATCTCATCAGAGAACTCTGCATGTAGTTCCCATCTATGTATTCCCAGGATCACTTGCAGTTGAATGGCTAGGATTTGTTATTTCCCACTTGAGTTTCCTTTGGTTGTTTTCAGTCCTGGCCTTGGAAAACGCTGAGCTCTGCCTTCCTAGTATGCAAGGGTCTGCCGGCTAGGCCTGGTCTCCCAAGGTGCCATTGGCTTCCCTTCCTCCTCCTTGGTCAGAACTCAGGACAGCAGTGGCCCCCTTTATCAGTAAGGTAAGGAATGTTTCTGTATCTGCAGCAGAAGGACAAGACTGCAACTCCAGATCCCCCACTGCCACGTGGAGTGTGTTTGTATACCTGCTGCATGGTCCACATGTGGCCTGGGAGTGTCTAGGGCCTTGATAGCTCCTCGAAGACTCACTGTGTGTTCCATGCACTTTGGTTTATCTTTACAAATTGTCTGCTTCCCCTCTGGCTGTCTCATTGTTCATCCCTTCAGGGACCACCCAAGCTTCTCTTTTGCTTCAGCCCCAGAGTGTCCTTCCACATATTGCCTGGAGTTACACCTTCACTGTCCCATCCCCACCTCATGGGTTCTGTCTGCATCTGCTTCAGCTGTGCAGCAGGTGTGAGTCCAGATGGGGCTACGAAAACTTTGAGAAGGAAAGGGCCCTCCTTTCTGGCCTCCATGGGGCATCCTGGGCTTCCCTCTGCGATACATCTTGTCTCACTCATCTGTTTTGTCTGAGGCTACCTTCCCATCACTAAGTCCCACCCTTTGTGCCATTCCTTGTGTCACCCCTTGTTTACCAATCCCAATGTGAGCCCTGGAGTGTGTTTCTGGTTGTGTCACCAAAAGTGAGTGACTTGGCTAGGTGTTATGTAATACGTGTTCTGATAGACCAGCCAGGATGGGGCCAGTGGAGTGACTACAGAAGGTAGCCTTACTGAGAAGCATCCTGAGCCATTTCACATGTTCAGGGCAGCACCTCAAGTTTGCCATTCCTTCTGCTGTTGTGTTTGTCTCTCCCTTTCCCTTGAAAGTTGCCCGGTATTTGATTCCTTGAGGCCTTCTGAGGACCCTGTTCTGGGTCATTTCATCATCCTAATGGAAGGTTAGGCCTGTTCTGCAGCAGCGAGGCCGTGAGACTGCCAGTGCAGGGGTGACCGTGGGCCATGGGCGGCGTTCGTGTTGGTCTTTGCCAGGAGGCCCTGAAGCCTTTAATTCCACCCATAGGTTCCCTCTCTCTGGCTTCAGGTAGGCAGGTGTCCCTTTTAATATGTTGGGTTTTGTGGTCTTTTATTTTTATTTAATACCAACTATTGTGTCCTTCTGTTCTAGAAAATGTAGGATGTTAGAAGAAAGTAAAAAGCACCCAATATTCCTACACTAAGAAAATAATTTTTGTTAACAGTCTGGTGCACTTCCTTTCATTATATAGTTTCATTGGGCACTTAAGAATCCTATGTGTTTGTTTTTGTTTTCTGCTTTTCACTCAACCTTGCAGCCTAAATTTGTAGAAAATCCTTCACGCACATCTCCAGGGCTGCAGAGTACTCGGGAAGCCAGAGTCCTTGATCATGTGCTGTCAGACATTCTCAAGGTTGTGCTTTTAGAACCATTTTGAACCATGCTTTAGCAAACATTTTGGTGTTTTGATGACTTGATGGGTTCTCAGAGTGGATCAGAAGCACCTCTCAGGCCCAAACCCTACCCTGCCACACCTGGAACCCTCAAAGTGCTGAATGCTTTCTGCTTCTTTTATAAGTAGCAAGTTGTACCCTTAACTCTATATTTTGAGGTTGTTTAATTTGTATGTGTTTATACGTTTCATTCCTGCATTCAGTGGCTTTTTCAGCTTGTTAAAATAATTGATTCTCATGTAGTGTTTTGTGGTATAAACGAGAGTGCTGTGCTTCCCTGTCTTGTTGTGGAGAAGAGTGGCCCAGCCCAGGCTGTGCAGAAGCCCTCATTAAGCTCTTCTTAATCTCACCCCTTTCTCTTCACTTTCTTAGCATTTTGTCCTAGACATTAAGAAGGGGGTACATTTTAAACATCTGCTTTCAGATATTCATTTGAAAAGGAAAGGAGTTTCCTTCACAACTGATTAAGATCTGGTGAGATGACAGAGCCCTGGTGCTTACTGGGCAGTGCTGCCTCCTTCCTGGGCATCTCCCCATGGGTGGCCAAGGCAGCCTTGCCCTTCTGCTATGGGTGGCCCTTGGACTAATGGTGCCTTTCTACCAATGAGGGCTGGTAAGGTTGATTTCTCACCTTTCTCTGCCGTCCATCTGAATGGGTGAGGCTGGCTCCATGGCCAGCATTTCCTTGGGGCTGCCAGCCCAGACTGGTCAGGTCCTCATCAGGAACAGGTGGTGCTTGCCTACTAGAACAGGCATACCAACTGAGTGCTTGTGTTTGTGGGGGCTAGCTCTCAGGCTGCCACTCAGCTCCCTGGGGAGGATGGTGGTTTCTGGTGACAGTTTTTGGATGATAAAAAATGTCAGGAGAGAAAGCAGTTTTCCTGAAGCAGATACAACGTGGCACTCAGAATTTCTTGGCAGGTCTTGAACAGAGTGGTGGTGTGCAAGTGTGGAGTTAGTGCACTTTTGGAGAATGAGTTTCTGGAAAGTTGCCTCGAATTAGTATTTTTGCATATTACCTTCTGTTTCTCCTTGTATTCTGATGGAATTGTAGTTCTCTGGAAATGATCCTTGGCTGATTGATGCCCACGATTGAGTATTGACATGTGCCTGAATGTGGAAGGAGATAGTGATACCGGCATGCTGTTGACCTTGGTTTCCTGAGGTCTGGGCTTGGGGCCCAAGCAGGTGATAGGTGTCCCGGTTTTTAAGAGGTCATGTGTTTTCTCTGAGCTGGCAGGAGGTTCTAGAGGGCCTGCGACCTGGACAGAAGGTTCTGGTCTCCATGGCGTATTCCTTGCTTGCAAGCACATTTTGGTTTAGAAAGCTATACTTTCTGAGCCTCTTCAGTTGCTTGCCCAGGTTGCAGGACTCCCTTGTCTCCCTCCTCCTGTTGCTCATGGCTTCTCTCTGGACCCAGCTGAGCTCCCTGACCTCAGACCTCTGCTGACATTTAGTGTGTGCTGGACTGGTTTCCAAAGTCATCCAAATGGAGTAAGTCTGCCTGGTTACTGAGGCTCCACAGCATCTCCAGGTTATTTCCTTGGAGAATGACAACCTTAAAGGCTGTATTTGTTTAAAAAGTTATTTTTTTCATTCTTGTATATTATATGAAATTATAAAAATTGGGAAACCCAAGTAAGCAGAACTTAAAAAAAAGAAATTGTTGCCCTGGCTGGTATGGCTCAGGTGGTTGCAGCATCATCCAATGCACTGAAAGGTTACGGGTTCAATTCTCGGTCAGGTCACCTGCTTGGGTTGTGAGTTTGGCCCCTGATTGGGGCCCATTTGGAGGCAGCTGACCAGTGTTTCTCTCTCACATGGATGTTTCTCTATCTCTTTCTCTCCCTCTCTTTCTAGAATATATGTGTCTCTTTAAAAATCCCCGAAAGATAAATAAATAAATGCTTTAAAAAAATTGTTATCCCAGTTCTACCTGGAGATGCTGTTACCTGTGCTGAAGTGCTTTCAAATATCTTATACAAATGGAGAGTACAAGTACTATATTTAAACATTTTTATTTTACATACTTTTAAGAATGAAATGTAACAAGCCTACAAAAAAGTGCTAAATTATTAGTGCATCTGTAGTTTAATTATTACAAAAGTACATGGATCCATAATCCCATAACCAGCCCCTTCTATAACCTTTCTCAGGGACTTTCTCACCTACCTTAGGGGTGGTCACCAACTTTGTCTCACCTGTTTTTGAATATCACATAAATAGAATTGTACCTGTAATTACTCTTCTAAATACAAGGTCTGTCCAGAAGGTACCCCGCCATGTAATATAAAACATAGGGACGTTTATTGAAGAAGATACAAGATTCAAGAAACATTATACATAGGACAGTGATGCCGCAATCCCCTTCAAAGTAGGTACCCTGGGACCTCACACAGTTCTCCCAGTTACAGTCAACTGCCCTATTGTATTTTCCAGAATCTCATTGACAGTCTGAAATCTCTTCCCTTTCAAAGGTGATGTTAGTTTTGGGAAAACCCAGAAGTCGCAGGCCACCAAATCTGGGCTGTAGTGGGGCTGAGTCACCTTGGTGATTTGACACTCTGCCAAAAAAATCTGCATGGGATATGATACATGAGAGGGCACATTGTTGTGATGAAGCTGCGAATCACCAGTTGCCCATAGTTGTGGCCTTCTGAATCATCAGAATAGTTTCCACAGAGGAATGTGTAAGCTTAATGCAAAGTTTCATGCAGATTCGTTGCTCTACTTGTTCAGTCATTTTGAATGTGATGGCCACAGAGTACATGTGCTCACTCATTGGTGTCTACTGCCCCCACTGACTAGTACAGTGAAGATGCTGTTGTTCACGCGTGTGCATTCCAGTCCACTTTCCTTGGCTGACAGGTTACATTGATATCACACAAACCATTCTCATTATATTAACAAAGGCTGGACTTTTTCTGGAGAGGCCTCATCTCACACACACACATGCACACACACATACATAATGCTATATGCATATATATTCACTCACACACATATACACAAATACATATACACATACGTAATTATATATTTATAAAAATGAGCTCATTGTATAATCCCTCTTCTGTGACTTTTTTCATCTGTATCTGTAAATACAGAGCTTCCTGTTGTCTTGTCAGACAGCATAGTATTCCATGGTCTGGAATGTGCCCCCCTGTATTTAACCATCTCACTATTGATGGACATTTAAGTTGTTTACATTTTATTTAGAATTATAAACAGTACTTTTATATGAGTAGCTAAAATCTTTTGCATATTCTTAATTATTCCCTTAAGATAAATTCCAGGGAATGCTAGGTCAGAGGGCACAGATTTTCCTCATTGCCCTGTGGCCCCAATGTGTCTTCTGGCATGTGACACAGTGCTGGGCCTCTCTATGGAGACAGAGAGTATTCCAGGCCAATGGGCTATCTATGGAGTTTGTAATCCCTGAGCTGCCTCATTCCCTTCTCCACAGCCATCCACCCTTCTCCCTGAGCTTTGGGCTGGTACTAATCAGACTGTTTTATTTTCCAATAGCGTTGTGTGGTACTGCGTTTTCTGAAGTTTCCTCCCAACAGGAAGAAGGTAAGAACTGTGCGTTTTGACACCCAGTCATTGAAACAATTTTACTTAAGAAAACTTTAATTTTATTTCTGATGTAGAAACATCAATGCTAACTATAGAAATTTAAATATGACACAAGCATTCAGTGCAGAAAGTGGTGTGTCCCTGAGTCCTGCAGGACCCAGTGCTTTGACTTGCTGGGATCACTCTGGGTTGCTATGGTGAGTCCTAGAGTTATGAGCTGGGAGTCACCCTGTTCAGTTCCAAGAGTCCTTCTGGTTGGCCAGGACCCCCAGGACCAGGTCTCAGCTTTCCTGTGGTGATTTCCTTATACCCTGTTACCTTTTGGAATTGTATATATGAAAATAACGCCTGTGGTGCTGCCTGGTAGACAGTGTTACAAGTCATAACAGGCAGTTCAGATGGAGCATTGGTTTCTATTTGCTGAGTCATCCAAGCCAAGTACTGTGACACCCTCTGAAAGCTGTTGCTGTTCTGTAGCACACTGGCTGACCACTGAGTTGCAGTGCCTGTCTCCCTGGAGTGGGATGTCACTGTAGTATTTATCTAAGTCTCAGTGGTTGCAGGGGTCAATAAGGAGAGCCTTCTGGAGCCCTTCCTTTTTTGTGGTCCTGGAGGGAGTGAGGGAAGAACAAGAAGTGGGTGTGAGCTCTGTGCCACAGCACAGTCTTTTATCTTAAAAAGGGAGCAAAGGCAGGAATGGGGTTTGCGGGGGTGGTCACAGCCCTCATAGTGGGGATGGGGCAGGGGTGGTTGGGTGGTGAGTGGAAATTGGGCAGAAGATCAGGGTATAGGAGAGGCACATCACTGTTTCATTTGAGTTAGGGAGAGACAACCAGAAAGGGAGGGGAGGTGATTGCTTATGGGCACTGGTGGTGGCCAGTAGTGGAAGTGAAGGGCACACTTAGGAGTTAGTCACATAGAAAGAAAAGAAGGATCTGTGGGAGAAAGCAAGGAGAGTGCTGCCATGAGATCTGGGGATGGTTTGGTCAGTGCAGGGAAGGATGGCAAAAGATGAGAGAGCACAAGTGGAGGGCTGCCCCTTCTCAGCTGCTGAAGAGAACTGTGCAGGGTGTTGTGTTTCTGTGGAATCCAAGTGGAAACTAGAACCATCTGGGAGGCTGCCTCTAGCCCCCACACAGCATCTGTAGAGCCCAGACTCAGAGAAGGGCCAGTCTTCCCTAGATGCCTCCCTCAGCTTTTCCTGTTTCAATTTATTGAGGCATTGTCTTCCAAGGCAACAATCTGCCTTTATTTATTATGTAAATGGCATGGTGTGATACCAGCTGCATTACTGGTGGAGAATCATGTGGTAATTCTGTCTCCAAGAAGAGCTTTTTGTCAGAAGCTCAGAGGACACAGCTGTATGGAGCCACTGGGTGTATTCTAGGCTTTACTGTTAGGCCTCCTTCTCATGCAGTCTCACTGTATGTGCCCCAGGATGCAGGCTGTGGTCTGCACCTGTAACAGGTACAGATGGCAGCTCAGTACAGGACCTTTGTAGAGCTCAAGCTGTGTGTCAGGCACCTGACCTGCGTGTGATGAGAAGAGCCTTCTTGCCCCTTACAGAGACTTGTGATAGACCCTTTGGGCTTGTTGCCTCAGGTCAGAGGGAGGGACACAGGGCTGATTTCCTGTCTCACCCAAATCTCGCAGCTTGTTAGCTTCTTAAGAAAATCAGACTTGGCATAAAATATTTTATTCCCTATTTAGAGGCTGAAGAATAAACTCTAAATATCTAGTGATTTTTGGACAGGAGATATTTTCAAAGTCCATTTCCTTGGAAGGTGTGCATAGGCTGCTGGTGGATCCACAAGGGTTCTTGGTGGGGTAGGAGGTTGACACAGGTGTGGGCCACATGGGCCTGGGTAGAAGGCAGGAGCGGGTCTGGGGGACAAAGGGCACAGAAGCTCCGATGGGTCCAGTGGTCTCTGTGGTAAGGCTCCCCTCCTTCCAAGTCCAGGGCCACCACTCTCTGCAGGCATGGCAGCCCTGTGTGGTAACGGGCTCTTGACGGTGTCAGAGTCTACTTCCTCCATCTTTCCTTGGAGGTCTTGATCATTAAGGCCTGCCTGTGCTTCTTTTTTACAGACCTCGGAAGAAATATTTCAGCACCTACAGAACATAGTAGACTTTGGCAAAAATGTCATGAAGGAATTTTTGGGGGAGAACTATGTTCATTGTGGGGTAAGTGATTTTTATTTACTTAATCTAAAATCATGGGAAAGATCTGTACAATAATACCGACTCCTCAATTATAGTTTGAAACTTTGTGCTTAACGATAACTCCTCATATTAATTACAGAGTTTCCAAGTGTTTGGTTGTTCTCATTTGTTGCATTGAGAGGTAGCAGAGTGAATAGTATTTTCCTGTATTTTAGCTGAAAAGCCTGAGGTTCAGAGAGACCATGTGAAACCCCTACTTGCCAGGATACCCATTCTTCTCCACTCTGCCCTCATGGAGACATTCAGCTTGGTGAGAGCTCTGGAGTGAGGTCCAGACAGCATCCCTGGTCCCTGTGCATGTGGATAGTCTTTACTGCTGGCTCTCTCTGGTCTTGGTATCTGAGAGGAGTGCCTGTCACAGGCAAGGTCTGCAGCTTGGACACTCACGGAGGAGCAGTGCAGGGAGACACAGTTGCTGTTGTCCACACTTGGGATGTCTGCTAGGCTTTTGCTGGCCTTGCTGCTTTTCTTAGATTAGAGCTCTGCTTAGACCAGCAGGTTTGTCACTTTGAACACATAGAGCACTGCTTCCATTTTGCAAATACTGTACCTTATGTCCATTCTGAAAAAAGTGACATTAAGGTGGTCAAAGGAAAGTTTTTTTTGAAGGATAAGGATTGCTTGGTAAAGTAGAATTTAAATGGTTCTGACAGGAAAACATCTTCCAAGAAGGGTCTTTTGTCAAGCTTAGGATGTACCGTGGGTTGTGCTGCTGGGCACCCTCCGGGCTGCAGTCTCAGTTGAAGGCTTCAGACCCCTTTCCAGCGTGGCCCAGCCGTGCAGCAGTCAGGCAGACTCACTGCAGGCCTTTGAGTATCCTTGAGACTCAGTCCTGGCTCCCCTAAGCACTCAGTCTGAGAGATACCTGGCCCAGAGTTGTGTCTGTCATTTCCACTGCATCCTGGTGGCTTTACAGGCCAGCCCTAGCCAGTGTGGAAGGAACTACACAGGCACTAGAGTCACCGGGCCATCCTTAGTGCTGGCACTCCACTCAATGAGGTCTTTAGCTGTTCATTTGAATTGTGAGAGCCCCTTGTCTCTGAGCCACCTGTGATGGGTGCTGCCTGCTTCTTGGCCTGGATGGTGTCTGAGTGAATGCGGGTATGCTGATACCAGCTTCCTCCTTGAGGAGAGAGTGCTGGTCTGGTCAAGTGGGAGCATTTCTCTCCATCACAGCACTGGGGGCTCTAGACCTTTCCCCTGAAAGGGTTACAGTGAGGAACAGTGGTAAGAGCTTGGATCTAGCTAAGGATGGTCTGGCAAGTGGGAGCAGCATCAGGATGTTGCCCTAGGGCCCAGGGCATACATGCCCTGGTTCCAGGTTTGGTTCTGTTTGTACACAGTAGATGGAGCTCTGGGCATGAGGTGAGTCCACGAGATCACATTCTGGGAACATTCATCCCATTGGCATGCCTTCTCCACATGAAGACAACACCAAAGTGAATACAACCTGCTTTTCCTCCAGGTGGACGTGATGTCCCCAGGGGGCTGCCACTGAGGCCCTGGCACAGTTGGAATGTGGCATACAGAGCACATCTCTGATCCGCACAAGACTATGCACAGGCAAAATCAGCATGTATAATTGCCACTGGTTTCTCTGACCACTGACAAGAAGTAGGGCAGAGTGGACCCCTGGTGAGCATTTCCCTCCTCTGTATCCTGGGACAAGATATAGACTAGCCCAGTGGCAAGAGCAGAAGGCCCAGACGGGGTGACAGACCACACCCCCTTGTGCCCGCACTGCCTCTGGGCCTGCCCAACTGGTTTGGTGACTAGTCTGGTCCAGTCTCCGTGTGAGCTGGAGGTTAGGAAATAGGGAAGAGGCTCTTTCTTTCATGCCTGCAGGTGTTTGTGTCTTAATTACTGGGGATAGTTGAGACACTGATGGAATTTTAGAAGTTTACCTCACTTTTACAGACCCAGTGCTCCCGAGGCGGGATATCCCTGAGTGGCTTTGACTTCCCACTTTATTTTTATTTTTTAAAAATATTTTATTTATTTATTTTTAGAGGGAGGGGAAGAGAGGGAGAAAGAGAAGGAGAGAAACATCAATATGAGAGAGAAACATTGGTCAATTGCCTCTTGGATATGCCCCGAGTGGGTACTGAACCCACAACCCAGGCATGTGCTCTGACCAGGAATCTAACTGGCAACCCCTTCACTTTGCAGGATGATGCCCAACCAACAGAGCCACATTGGTCAGGCCTTGACTTCCCACTTTAACTTGACATGATGGCCTGGCCACCACACACAATGAATGAAGGGATGCTGTTCTCCTGATGGAGCTTCTAGAAGACTGTAGAAATGCTGCTTACCAGCCAGGCCCCCTCCAGTCTCGGTGGCCCTTTGTCCTTTTCTACAGTCATCCCTTCATCCCTTTGAGGACAGATGCTTATCAACAGGGAAGCTGGTGTGGCCACACCTTTCAAGTTACACTTCCCTGAGAGGAATTTTGTGGTCTCTTCTCTGTAATTTTTCCTAAGTTAATACTTTGTGCAGGTGCTGGCCAAGTGCCCTGCTGATGATCACCATCTTCCCAGGGTTCTGTAGGTGCTGTCTGTCCATCCGTGGCATGGTTTACGAGTCTGAATCAAAGATTGATAAATGTAGCCAAATGTTAGAAAGGATGCCTACTCTGAACATTTCTGACTTAAAACACAAGTAGAACTCATTATAAAATCAGGAATTTAAAGTTGCTTAAGGAATTAGTTCTACTTTTTACCTTGGTGACTGGACTTAGGCAGGGCAGTTCATAGATGCTGCGTCAGAGTAGTTGAGCCACTTTTGACTCTGAACTTGATCCTGTCTCCTTCTCTCCAAGTTTCTGTTACTGCATTGTTGATTCCAGCATGGGCCATGCCTTCCTTTCCCAGCTGGGGGGCATCACAACTCCTGCCATGTGGAGACCTCAGTTTATGTGCTTGCTGTGACCTGGTGTGCTTGTCCTGATCTTCCTGCATTGCCTCTCAGCTGTGCAGGGCTAGGCATTTCTTTGAGAGATGAACTGGTGCAGTTCTTTGTCTTCCCTGCATAGCATCCCTTATCTGCCATGTGCCCACTATGTACCTTTGGTTTTATTTTTAAAGTGGTGTGAGTAAGAACTTGGACTTTTGTGAGATGGTCCAAGTTTTGAATTTTCAAATTTTTTAAGTCCCACTCTTTTCCATTGTTTCATCTTACTAATTCAGAACTAAATTTTTAGCATCTCACTTTATATCAGTTTATAGCATGTGTAGGTAAGTGACAAAATCATGAGTTAAGTTGGCACGGCAGACTGGGAAGTAAACGATTGACTGGAACCAGGACTGACTGCAGAAGCATGCCCAAATAATAGGATGGCCTCAGGCTCGAGGGCAGGTCAGCCACTAGCTGGTGCTGATGCACAGGTGGGATAGGGTAGGATGGAGAAGGCGTGGTGTGTCAGCATTTAGGGTCTTGGTGTTCACATTCTAGGCTGGTCTCTTGTGCCCTGTTGGGACTTCTTCAGAAGTCAGAAATCTGCCACCCTGGAAACACGATGAAGATGGTGAGCAACATGGAATAAAAGCTCCAGGAAATTGCAAAGAGACAGCAAAGCAGAGAGAAGTTGCTCTTTGTTTTTCACCCAGGTGCACTGCATATTGGGCCACCTTGAGTCCTGTGGCTAGTGAGCACACAGGAAGTCTCAACCTGGAGGTTAATATGGGATCAGACCCTTTCCCTTGAGCTGTTTCTCCGGTGGGAGGGTGAGAAGCCTCAGGTTGTCTGTGGAGATAGCTAGTGAGGAATGTTTACGCTGGCAGAGAACTGCCTCAGGCCCTGCTTTGCAGTCCACAGACACCAGGAGGACAGAGACAAGGTCTCAGTGAGGATGGAGGAGGTGCTTTGTGGAGACTGACTGTGGGTGATGTGAGGCATGCTGCTGATCACCACCAGCATAGGCACCAGCTGCTTTGAATGCATGAAAAACATTAGTGTCTCTGTTTCATCTGGACATGTCCTTAAAATAGAAGAGCATCTTTATACCCAAGGCCCACATCTGACTACTTTGTTTTAATGTGCTAAAATATGCATAACATAAAGTGTACCATTTTAACCATCTTTAATTATGCGAGTCTGTGGCATTAAGTACATTCACACTGTTTTACAGCCAAGCTGAGTATTTTGTATTTATCCTTACAGGAAGTCGTTCAGCTGCCTTTAGATTTTGTGAAACAGCTTTGTTTAAAGATACAGTCTGAAAGACCAGGTAAGGGTTTCTAACTTATAAATTTTATTTTGTAATTTAAAATATCCCATTTGAAAAGTGTTTGACATTATTACTCTTGTTAGATAGATGCCGTTTTTGGCAGTTCTTTTGCCAGAAACATGATTATCAGGGGTAGAAATCTCAAGAGCTCATGAATACAATCCTGGGCATCAGATACCCAGGTCACAACAGAGAATATACGACCAAGAACTAATTAATAAAAACAGATAATGCATTTGGGAGAGAGAAGAAGCTGAAGGAGTTAGGGGAGACTTAGGGTAGAGACAGTGGGCTATATAGGGAGGCCTGGAGGAGTCAAAAAGAAAACTGAGGTAGACCCAAACCACAGAGGATGGGCCAGGCCCTAGCAGGTCTGCAGCTAGAGGACCTTCTCCCAGAGCTGGGATCCACCCAGCATGCTGATCCCCCTGGGAGAACACAGGAGATGCGAGTTTTGTGGGCAGTGCCTGCCCTCTCGTCTCATGTATTTCCCACATCTCCTGTACTTCTCACATACTTCCCCCATGCATTGAGTATCTTCACCACTTCACCTTGCATACCCTCCCCCTGTCACCTCACATACCTTTCCCCACCTTGTGTACCTCTCCCATTACCTCATATGCCTCCCCTATCACGTCACGTACCTTCCTCATACTTGGTCGTGGCTGTAATGCCAGTAACCATGTCAAAACCTTTCCTTTCACACAAAAATGTGAAGCCCATGTTATTGAGGATGGATGTGCACCTCCTAAAGCACAGCCAGGCAGTCCAGGTGTGCAGTTGGCCAATATAAAATTCTCTCCTTACTTGATTAGGAAAATTAAGGCGCCATGCCTTGGAGCCACAGGTTTGAGGAGCATTGAGGAGCAGGGCTCTGTGTGTTGAAATGGCTAATGAGGGGGAAGGATGTTGTAGCGATGTTAAAGCCAGGACTGTGTCTTGGCTCCGTTGTCCTCAGCCAGACTAAGGCAGACTGAGACTTGTCTAGGGTTCTGCCACCCAGCTATAATGCTGCTCAATATCATTATTTTATTTTATAATTAGCAGTGAAATTTGTACTACTTAACAGTAGTAAGAACTGTCCCCCCATTGTAATAATGACTCATAATCAGGCATGTTGTGTGAAAGGAGGAGAGTCAACTCTACCTGGGGTCTGGAGGCCACATGGATGTTCTGTGACTGTCCAAGTACAACTTCTAGCAGTCAGTACTAAGGAAATAGTGAGGTTTGAGGACTCTGGAGGAGCCAGCAAGACAACGGTTGAGGCTGTCCCCTCCTTTGTCTCTAAGTTCCTGGGTTAAGGGACTCACAGAATTGGGGGACAGTCCCCCAAACCACCCTCATTTCAGATCTACCCTTACTTCTGGTGACAATTGAACCTTCAGGGATCCCCAAGAACAACTTCAGGATCTTATAGTTTGCTAGAAGGACCCATAGAACTCACTGTTATCCTCATGGTTATGGTTTACCACAGCTAAGGGACAGAAATTAAGACCAGCTGATTGAAGAGGCGCTGGGGGCAGGTCCAGGGAAACCAGTATGAGCTTCCAGGTGTCCTTTCCCACTGGAGTTGTGTGGATGGTGCTTACTTCTTCCAGCAACAGTGTGTGAACTCATGGAGGAATGCCAAGCATGGAGGCTGCCCAAGCCTCAGTGTCAGGGCTTTTTTGGGAATTGGGTGTGTAGACACAGCTGACTAGCCACCCTCAGTGTTCAGCCTTTTGGAGGTTGAGCTGATACTGTGAGACCCATACCCATCATGAATCACAGTGTTACACTCATGTCACTCAAAGGCACCGAGACATTCCTCAGGTAGGCCACCTCAAGGCTTAGAGGTGGAGGCCAAGGCTACCCCTTTTAGGCAAGGCTGACCTTTCCTCAGCAGGAATTTGTCAAGTTATTGTAGGATCTTCTTCTGTCTGGCACTGATCCTCAGGTATTTTTTTTGCTGTTTTCTAGAATCTCGCTGTGACAAGGACCTGGATACTCTCAGTGGTTATGCTCTGTGCCTTCCCAATTTAGCCAGACTTCAGACCTACCATTTTGCCGAGCATCGGCCGATTCTGTGTGTAGAGATCAAGGTGAAGTTTTGTCAAGGGGAAAGTGATGTGGGGAGAAGGGAAAGGTGGGTTCAGGTTGTAAATCCATGGTACCTGCCTAGAGTGCACTTTTCCACGGAAGCTCCTGGTGTTCCTCACAATGGGCCCCACGGCTCCTTTTCAGGGACCCCCAACTCTCAGAGATTCAGTTTGCTTCCTTCTCCTTCCATGTGTACCACCTGCACCTTTCTGCTCTGGTTTCTCCCACTGGCCAGACCTGAGGGACATGGCTCCCCAGATCCCCAGATTTAGGCCTGTTCCAGGTGCTTTGATGGGGAGTCAGCTAGGGACAAGCCCTGACCAGGGTTCCACCCTCCCTGTTTTGTTTGGAGGGTGCAGCTCACTAGGCTACCCTGACCTTCCCTGCCATGCGCTCTTTGCAGTGTGGTGACACCGAATGCTGTATTCCATGGGGCCAGCTTGAGGGTTGCCCTTTAGACTGGGTGGCACTCTCTTCCTTTGCTTCTGTCCTGCTCAGTAGAGACCCTCCCCAGAGGCACAGGAACCTATGTGACTCTCAGGGCCCTGGTTTGCCGTGTCCAGGAGTCCTGAGTCGGGGTGACAAAGGGCATCACTATTCTAATGGAGGGAAGTGATTGCTGGATAAGGGCCAGGCCCCAGCTTCAGCTCTGCTGTGCAGTGACCAGTGTGACTGCTCAAGTCTTCCTCAGGAAGCATCCCAGATGTCCCAGGCCATTGTTTGTCTCCTTCATCCAGATCTTTGTGGTGGTGATTTCTGGGTCACACCCTTGGCTCTGAGCAACCTGTGTGCTCAGTGGGGCCTAATGATCTGTTTCCCCAACCAGAGCATGAGTGTCTTAGGCATCACAACCAATTGTGTCATATTCTTCATTGCCGCAGTGCTGAGCGCAGGTCTCATGTATCATACATACCCAGAAACTGTGGCTTTTAAAAGGCAACTGGGGTTCCAGGCATTCTGTGAGCCTAGCAGCCATCTGATGGGCACATTCCCAATCACAAATTCTTATCAGAGGGAACAAGAGTTCTGCTTCTTAGAGCTAGGAGTGCGGGGTGAATCTGCACTCCCAGAGTCTTTCCAGTCTCCTTCTGTCTGGAAAACACAAAGCAACTCTCTGTTGTACTTTTCAGTCTAGCAATAGAGGAACCATGTTTTCCCAGTGAGAATTCTGACTCTCTAGCAGCAGAGAGATGTTTATACAATGTGAGGAGGGAAGCATCAGTTTCCTTGGGGGGCTGGAGAGAAAAGCAACTTGGGGGATGTTTTTATCTAACATTTGCTGCTACTCCTCATTGTTGTCTTGTAGTTAGTTATATGTCTATTTAAAGGTATGTGGTTTCTCCTTAAGCAGTTTTTCTTCTTTGTTTTGCAGCCAAAATGTGGGTTTATTCCTTTCTCCAGTAATGTTACTCATGAGATGAAACATAAGGTTTGCCGTTACTGCATGCACCAGCACCTCAAGGTGAGGAGAACCAACCAGGCCAAGTCCCTCCCTGCAGAGCTATGGAGGGTGGTTGGGCCTGAGGTGTGACCACCTAGAGTTTTCAAAAGAGCAAAAGAAAATGTAGATATTCATTATTATTTTTTTATTTCACAAGCGCTTCATGTTCACCTTTTTGTTTTGTTTTATTTTAAATTGGGATAAGATTCACTTACTTACCCTAAGATTCACCCTTTTAAAGTGTATAATTTAGTATATTCACAAAGTTGTGCAACTGTCACCACCACTAATTCCAGAACACTTTCATCACTTCGAAAAGAAATTTTGTCCCCGGGAGCGTTCACTTTGCAATCCCCTATACTGCCAGCCCCTGTCAACCACCTGTCTGTCTGGATTTACCTGTTCTGGACATTTCATATAAATGAAATCATACAATATGTGGCCTTACTGTCTTCTTTCAGTATAATCATGTTGAGGTTCATCCATGTGTTGTAGTGTATATCAGCACTTTATTCCTTTTATGGCTGATTAATATTCCATTGTATGGGAACATTTTGTTCATCCATTCATCTATTGATGAATACATGGGTTGTTTCCGCCTTTTGGTTGTGAATAATGTTGCTATAAACGTGTATACATGTATTTGTTTGAATCCCTGTTTTCAGTTCTCTTGGGTAGATTCCTTGGAGTGGAATTACTGGGTTCTAGGGAAGGTCTGTGTTTAACTTTTTGAGAAAACATCAAATTGTTTTCCTCAGCTGTTGCACTATTTTGTATCCCCTCCGGCAATTGTATGAGTGTTCTGATTTCTCCACATCTTTGCCAACCCTTGTTGTTACCCTGTTTGTGGCTATAGACATCCTAATGAGTGTGCAGTGGTATCTTATTGTGGTTTTCATTTGCATTTCTCTAACCGTGATGTTGAAGCATCTTTTCATATGCTTCTTGTGCCATTTGAGTATCTTTTTTGGAGAAATGTCTATTAAAATGCTTTGCCCATTTTGAATTGGTTTGTTTTTCTGTTGTAGAGTTTTATGTATCCTATATACATTCTGGATATTAATCTCTTATCAGATATGTGGTTTGCAAATATTTTTTCCTCTTCTGTATGTTGCCTTTTTACTTTGATGATAGTGTTCTTTGAGGCACAAAGTTTTTACTTTTGATAAAGTCCAATTTGTCTACTGACTTTTGTTGCCTTTGCTTTTGGTGTCATATCTAAAAAAATCGTTGCCTAATCCAAGGTCATGAAGGGGATATGTGTTCTTTTAAGAGTTTTATAGTTTTAGCTCTTATGTTTATGTCTTTGATCCATTTTGAGTTAGTTTTTGTATACGGTCTTAGGTAAGTGTATGTTCAGTTTTTCCAGCACCATTCATTTAAAAGACTATTCTTTCTCCATTGAGTGGACTTGTTACCCTTATCAAAAATGTTTTGGACATATATGTGATGAATTATCTCTGGGCTCTCTATTCTATTTTATTGTTCTATATATTTTTTCTTATACCAATACTATACTCTCTTGATTGCTGTAGCTTTGTAGTAAGTTTTGAATTCAGTAAGTGTTAGTCCTCTGGCTTTGTTCATTTTCAGTATTGTTTAGGCTATTTGGGTGCCCTATACAATTACCATATTTTTGCCGGGTATAATGTGCACCCACGTTTTTGGCCCAAACTTTCAGGGAAAAAATCTTTTGTTTTAATTTTTTAATTCAATTTTTTATGTATTTATATTTAGATGCTTGGTGTTTGTATTTTAAAGGAATTTTAGCATTTATTTTTGAACATACTATGGTACAAGAAATTTTCTGTTACAAATAATTACAAAATACAAGAACAGATACAAGGTATTTCAGGCACTACCCGTGTATGTGTATCCTTATTTTTCCCTAAAAATTTGGGCAAAAAAAGTGTGCATTATCAGTGACAAAACATGGTACCTATGAATTTGAGGATTGGATATTTCCTTTTTGGAAAGCATAACTTGGAACTTTGACAGAAATTGCAGGAATCTGTAGATCACTTTGAGTAGGATTGCCATCTTAACAATATTGTCTTGTAATCCATGAACACAGGCTGTCAATCTCTTAAGATTTTTCTTTAATTTCTTCTAGCAATGTTTTGTAGTTTTCACTGCACAAGTCTCTCACCACTTTGGTTAAGTTTATTTCTAGGTATTTTATTGTTTTCTAATATTGCAGATGTGATTATAAGTGGAATCGTTTCCTTAATTTCCTTTCTGTAGTGTTCATTACTAGTGTATAGAAACACAGCTAATTTTTTGTGTGTTGATCTTGTACCCTGCACCCTTGCTGAATTTCTTATTAGCTGTAGTAGCTTTTTTGTAGATTCTTTGGAATTTTCTATATATTGGATCATGTCATTTGTGAATTGAGAGTTTTATTTCCACCTTTCCAGTCAGTTGCCTTTAGCTTCTCCATTTCCTCAAAGAAGTCAGCAGGGATTTTTGATAGGGATTGCATTGAATTGTAGGTCAATTTGGGAGGTATTGCTATCTTAACAGTATTAATACACTGGGAACAACAGGTCATTTTCCATTTATTTAGGTCTTTAATTTCTTTCACTGATGTTTTATATTGTAGTTTTCAGTGTATAGGTCTTATACTTCTTTTGTTAAATTTATTCCTCAGTATTTTATTTTTTTGGATGCTATTGTACATGAAATTTTCTTTTATTTCATTTTCAGATTTATTGCATAGCAATGCAGTTGATTTTTAAAATTTATATATTTTTATTTTTTCAAGAATTTTTTTATTAATTTGAGAGAGACATCAATTTCTTGTTCCACTTATTTATGCTCTCATTGGTTGTCCTGTGTATATGCCCTGATTGGGGATTGATCCCACAACCTTTGAGAATTGGGACAGGGCTCTAAACAACTGAAACTACCTGGCCAGGGCTCTAAAATATATATATTTTTAGTTGTGGTGAAATACACAAAACATAAAATTCACCATCTTAACCATTTCAGGTCACTGGCATTAAGTACATTTACATTGTGGCGCAACAATCACCATCATCCATTTCTAGAACTTTTTCATCTTGCAAAACTGAAACTCTGTACACAGTCCAAGGGAACCACCATTGTAGTTGTTCCCTCTATGAATTTTACTATTGTTGGTACCTCATATATATGGAATCGTACAGTATTAGCCCTGTTGTGACTAGCTCATTTTCACTTAGCATAATGTCCCCAAGGTTCATCCATGCTGTATATAATGTGTCAAGATTCCTTTTTGAAGGATGAATTGAACTTGGGCTGCTTCCACCTTTTGGCTGTTGTGAATAATGCTGCTATGAAGATGACTATACAAATAGCTCTTTTAGTTTTTCTGAGAATATACCCAGAAGTAGAATTGCTAGATCATATTGTAGTTCTGTTTTTCATTATGAGGAGCCACCATTTTCTTGTCCACAGTGGCTGCACCATTTTACATTTCTATCACAGTGCACAAGAGTTTCAATTTTCCCATATCCTCACCAAGACTTGTTTTATGTTTTTCATAGTAGTCATCCTAATGAGTGTGAGCTAAGAAACACAGTTTTTGCATATTGATTTCTTTCTTTTTTTTTTTTTTTAACGAGGCTCATTTCTTAGGTATCATGCACAACAACAGAAGTGGCATCTACTCACTGCCCCCGCCTCATCCTAGTGCAGGATACTTTCACCGTTGGGGTATTTCCTTTCTTAAGGTGGCTGTAGCTAGTGACAGATGTAATGTTAACAGCTCCTCTTAGACTGTAGTCAGCTGCTGAAGTTCTGGTGGACAGCAGGGAATAGAGTGGAGATAGAATGCCAACTCTAGTAACTCTTCTGTGTGGCCAACTTCTGACTCAGCTCTTCTGAAGCATTTCTTCTGTTCCCTTCTATTGGCGCAATTACTGGTCCAACTCCCCAAAGCCAAGGCAGGGGTTAGACTTTCTTTTACGTGGCTTATTTACACTTAAGACCCAGTCAATCTGAAAAAAATGCAATCTTGGTCGTCATTGGTCTGACAACCTTATCTTGTATATTTTTTAGTGTTCAATAGAAAATAGAAACAATTCTAGGTATTCTAAGCAAAAAAGTTTAATACAGGAAATTGAGTGTTTAGAGACTCATTGGGAAGCTGGAGGAGTAAGCCATAGGTTGTTCTCCAGGAATCAGAACATCACAGAACTGACCCAGCAGGGGAGCTACAGTCTTTAGTATATTAGGAATGTGAGGGACTATCAGGATAGAGATACTGAGTTCCAGAACACTCTACATAGCTGCAGTCCAGGGATCAGAGAATCCCCATAGCCTCAACTACCCCTGGAGAGCCACAGAATTAAGATTGGACCCTGGAAACCTGAAGAAAAAAAAAAAGCCCTCAGAGAATGAGTACCTACTGTGTGCTGCATGTTCATCTTAATCCTGTTACCTTTGATGAACTTGCTCAGTTGCTCTTATTTTTTTTTTGATGGTTTCTTAGGATCATCTGTATACATGATCACTTGCAAATAGAGATAGTTCTAGTTCTTTCTTTACAACCTGGATGATTTTTATTTGTTTTTCTTCCCTAATTGCTCTATCTAGAACTTGCAGTATAATATTTTATGGAAGTAGCAAAAGTCTTGTTCCCAATCTTAGGGAGATAGCTTTCAGTGTTTCACCCTTAAGTGTGATGTTAGCTGTGAGTCTGTCATAGATGTTTTGGATTTTTTTCTTTTTTTAAAGATTTTATTTATTTAATTAATTTTTTTTAGAGAGAGAAGGGAGGGAGAAAGGGAGGGAGAGAAACATCAATGTGTGATTGCCTCTCCCAGCTAGATACCTGGCCCGCAACCCAGGCATATGCCCTGACTGGGAATTGAACTGGCGACCCTTTGGTTTGCAGGTTGGCACTCAGTCCACTGAGCCACACCAGCCAGGGCTTGAGTGTTTTTTTTTTTTTTAAATCATGAAAGGATGTTGCATTTTATCAAGTACTTGTCCTACACTGAAATGATCATGAGGTGTTTTCCTCCCTCTATTAACATGGTGAATTACACTGATTTTCATTATGTTGAACCATTTTTGTATGTCTGGATAAATCCCTCTTCATTGTAGGTGGATAATCCCTTTAGCATGCTGCTGAATTTGATGTTAGTTTTTGTTAAGGATTTTTTCTTAAGGAATATTGGCCTACTTAACCCCTCTGGAGGCTGCCAGACTTTTTTTCACCATGGTTGGGCTGTTGGTCTTCAGGGTTCCCTTGCAACTAGAAAGGGGGTGGGAATAGGGCATTAAAAGTGCCACAAAGCTCAGTTATTACTTAGATTTGGCTGTTCTCCTTGAATAAATGCTCCCCAGATTGTTGCAAGACTTTGGTTAATTTTCAGTTATGGAAATTTTAATTGATTCTCCTAGTTTTTGCCAGTTTTCTCGTTGCCCATATGGAAGATTTTCTAAAGGTTCTTACTCCACCATTTTTGCTGACTCAATTCCTACTCATTTAACTGATAAAATATGGAATTGTATGAATTAGGTCACCTGCCTTTCAGAGGTAACTCATATCATCAGTTTGTACATCCTTCTAGACTTCTTCCTGTGCCAACAAAAATAAATTATCCAGTGAAAATGAGGTGATGCCTGTCTCTAAGTATATTTTAATGTGTTCACATGTGCATGTATACACATTTCTAAAGCATATATGGGATCTTGCCATGTACAGTTGTTTTGCTAATTCTTTTTTCACTTAATCCTTGAGGATTGTTTGTTGTGTATCCTTCAAGGTTTTTTCTTTGAATATTTGGATATATGCATGTAATATTTTTTTTTTTTTTCACAAAAGTGACATCACACTTTTTGTTGTGCAAGTTGCCTTTTGACTTGAATAAATCTTGGTGATTTTAGCTCTACCTCTTTCTGGTAGTAGCTGCATGTCATTTATTCATTGTTTCATTCAGCATGTGTCCTGCTGTGACCTGGCCCCTGAGAGCAGCTGTGCTGTGACTTAGTTGTTTCTAGGTTTTGCTTTTACAGGGAGGCAGCAGTGAACATCCTTGACCCTGTAATTCTTTGTGGATTTCCCAAGTCAGGAGACACCCACTTTTTAAGTTTCGATGAACACTAGCATGTTACCTTTCAAAACACTGTGCTGATTTTTCTTCTCACAGACAACATGAAATTACTTATTAGCCACATCCTCCCCTTCCAAATCAGAATTGTTTATCTGATTACCAAAATTTAGCCATGTCACTTTAGAACGGTGCTTGCTGCTTCCCTGCTTCTGTGGAGGTCTGGGCTGGCAGGCACATGAGTCTCTTAGAGAAGGCCCAGGTTTCCTGGGGTTGGAGTCAAGCCCACCTCCCCAGCTAGTGATGTATACCCAGAGGCAGTGACATCTGCTGGGACCTTCATCATCTTGGTCACTTTGGTCACTTTAGCTGTTCTGTGTTACAGTTAGCCCAATGCTGTCCTCAATCCAATTGTTGACACAATGTGGTGGATTCTTAACAGGTGGCGACTGGGAAGTGGAAGCAGATAAGTAAATACTGTCCCCTTGATCTCTACTCAGGGTAAGAGAACACTTCTACTTTGTCCCAAGTGCCATCTTCCTTGGAGGTGGGGTGGTTGGGAGTTTTCTATGAGGTAGGATAATGTTCTCTGAGGGGGAGTTGGTGGGTGTTCTGTGGTGTGGTGGTGGGGAGGTATTCTGTGAAGTGGGAACCATGGGCAGGCCATTCTGTGAGGTTGGGTGATGTTCTGTGAAGGAGGTATTCTTGAGGTGGGGTCGATAGGTGTGTGTTCTGTGAGGTGGGGGAGGTGTGGGAGTGGGGGTGGGGCAGGCATTCTGTGACGTGGGAACTACTGGCCCCTATATAGCCAGGTCCCTGGGCAGGACTCAGGTTTTTGCCTGGGGTTAGGGTTGCCTGTATTGATTCCTGCAAGTTACCTGGCAGAGCCAGCAGCTGGAAAGATGTTGCCACAAGAAGAGGGCTGAGAGCAGGGTGGGGATTAGGGGCTTCTGCAAGTAGGGCTGGGCAGCTCCTTAACCTGAAAAACTCGGAGACCTAGACCAGGAGCTCCTTGGCTTGTCCCCTGAGCCATGTCTCCAGAGCCACAGGCAGGTAAATGCAAAGACTGCTTCTAATTCTAGCAATAATCGTTTCCCCTTTTAGAAATAAACAGAGAATGTACTTTGCCTTGAAAAGCTTGTTGCAGGAGGCACAGAACAACTTAAAGATATTTAAGGTAAGAGTTGCTTCTATTTTGTGGCCCTTTTAGGGGGAGCCAGTAGGTGTCTGGACTGAGCCTGATGCACTCATGGCACTCTGGTCCCTTTGACCTTGCAGATAGGGACATCTGGGTTGGGTCTGCCTTGGCACGGATCTTTGAGTCTATTTTCCAAGTCTCATTCCATGAGCATGACATCCTGTAATTCCTCTGGTATATGATGTTGACTCCTTGACCATTAGGTGGCCTTATGCTCCCCTGACAGCTCCCCTTAGGCCTGACTTTGAATGAGGATGGCCCTGGCATGGTCAGGCTGTATCGCAGATATCCTTCTCTGCATCTCTGTGGCCAGTGTGGTTGAGGTGGGAGAAGCAACTAGGTGGCACAGTAGCACAACCTAGAGGGTGGCCATACCTGTGCATTTGCTCCCAATTGACTTAGGGAGCTTGTAATTAGAGGACCCCTTTGTCAATGAGTAAATTCTGTACTGGCCTCACAAGGGAGGGGTTCATCCACCACCCAGACCAGGCATCCTCGGCTTTCTCCTTGCCACCTGCGGCTGGCGCCCTGATCAGGCTCACTGAGGCCCTGTGGTCACCTGGCCTCTTTCTTGGAGGAGTTGGGCCTCAGGAGTGAGTATGGGAAGAGGAGAGGAGGGCTTGTCCAGATCTGGAGGACAGCTACCTGTGACCTCTGTGGGAAATGTGTCCCTTGGGGTTCCCCTTGTCATCTCCTTTTCTCTTTGCCTTTGACTCTGTCCTCAGTCCCAGTTATGTCCTAATTAAGTATGACACATGTGAGAGTTTGCAACAGGCTTGCAGGCAGCACATCGGTGCAGAAGCAGGGATGTTGGATCTGGACAGCTTGTGTTCTCTGTGTCCTGCTCTACATGGACAGCTCTGTTCTGTACACTGACGCTCCTCAGAAGGCACTGGGATGCGTTGGGGGACTTTCCCCCATCTGACTTAGAAATTTGGTCACAGTGAATTGACTTTACCATGTGTGCCTCCACTTTTCCAAATCTAGAAAAGGAGGACATATTCAAAGTCAGTTTATGTTTTTAAATTTAATGAGGAGTTCAGAAATTTTATGTTTACATTCGAAGGTAAATTTCCTTTCACCTGGGGATTTCTTTAGAACCTATAGTAAGACTGGCATTCTGTCTCCAGTGGACCCTTTTCTGACTTCCTGGCCTGGGCTGGACTGTCAAGCCCACACTTAGGCTGAGTGGTGAGTCTGACTTGGCCCCTGGATAGACTGCCCTGCCCTGTGACCAGAGCCTGGGCCTGGGAACCTGGATGCCTGCTGCTTCTGTTGAAATCAGTATGGAAAAAAGTTCAGAGGTTGTGATAATAGGTTCAAAAGAATGGCTTTTAAAAATAATATTTGGAACAACACAGTGCATTTTTGTAAGTGCTGTAACTTCTAATGAGCAAGCTCTGCTTCTGAATCTCAAATCTTCCCTCTCTGTGTGTCAGGATCAGTGCCACTGTTATGCTCTCTTTCCCAAAGTTGTTCATAGACTCCAGGGCTGTGGCTCTGTCCAGCCCAACACTAATCACTTGTGTAACTTGCGGGGGAACACATGGGGTAGTCATGGAGCCTGGATTGATGCCTCTCCTCCAAATGTCACATGAGGTCCTTGAGCAACTGAAATGTACATGTGACACTGGTGAGAAAAGGCCTTCCACTTGCAGGGGTCACTCAGCCGCTCATGGGCTGGGAGGAGGGACCAACCTCAAGGTGGGCCGAGGCTGCAACTCATGATCCCTGGCTTCGGCTTCTACTTCTTCTTGGCCTGTTTTCCTCCTGGGAGCTACTGCCTTCCCTTTGCCTGGCACATCCTCCTCCCACTGTAAGGCTGATCTCAAGGGTCAATGTCTCTTGATGGTTTCCCCAGTCCTATGCTGGGAGTAGCTTTAGTTGTGTCCCCATCACCCTGGACACCCACACTGTAAGCTCTGACAGTGCAAAGAGGGGCTTCTCAGTGGAGGCATCATGCTGCTGAATCCCAGGACCTTACTGAGGGAGGAAAGCCCTGTCTATGTGTTTTTTGTTTTTGTTTCTTTAAAGTGTATTTTATTGATTATGCTCTTACAGTTGTCCCATTTTTTTTCTCCCCTTTATCCCCCTCTGCCTTACCCATCCCCCTTCATCTCCCTGACCCTTAGTTCATGTTCATGGATTGCACATATAAGTTCTTTGGCTTCTCTATTTCCTATATTCTTCTTAACCTCCCCATCTATTTTGTGCCTACCATTTATGCATCTTATTCCCTGTACCTCTTTCCCCCATTCTCCCCCTGTCCCCTCCCCACTTATAAGGCTCCATGTGATCTCCATTTCTGTGATTCTGTTCCTGTTCTAATTATTTGTTTAGTTTAGTGGGGGGTTTTTTAGGCTCAGTTGGTGATAGTTTGAGTTTGTTGTCATTTTACTGTTCATAGTTTTTGACCTTTTTTTAGAGCAGTCCCTTTAACATTTCATGTAATAAGGGATTGGTGATGATGAACTCCTTTAACTGTACCTCATCTGGGAAGCACTTTATCTGTCCTTCCATTCTAAATGATAGCTTTGCTGGATAGAGTAGTCCAGGTTGTAGGTCTTTGCCTTTCATGACTTTGAATACATCTTTCCAGCCCCTTCATGCCTGTGAGGTTTCTTTTGAGAAATCAGCTGATAGTCTTATGGAAATTCCTTTGTAGGTAACTGTCTCCTTTTCTATTGCTGCTTTTAAGATTCTCTCCTTATCTTTAATCTTGGATACTTTAATTATGATATGTCTTGGTGTGTTTTGCCTTGGATCCAACTGCTTTGGGATTCTTTGAGCTTCCTGGACTTGCATGTCTAGTTCCTTTGCCAGACTGGGGAAGTTTTCTTTAATTATTTTTTCAAATAAGTTTTCAATTTCTTGCTTTTCCTCTTCTTCTGGTGCCCCTATGATTCAGATGTTGAAACGTTTAAAGTTGTCCCAGAAGTTCCTGAGCCTCTCCTCATTTTTTTTTGAATTCTTGTTTCTTCATTCTGTTCCAGTTGAATGTTTATTTCTTCCTTCTGTTCCAAATCTTTGACTTGAGTCCCAGTTTCCTTCCTGTCACTGTTGGTTGCCTGTATATTTTTCTTTATTTCATTTTGCATAGCCTTTACTTCTTCATTTTGTGATTAGACTTAATTAGTTCTGTGAGCATCTTCATTAGCAGTGTTTGGAGCTCTGCATCTGATAGGTCATCTGTCTCCATGTTGCTTAGTTCTTTTTTTGGAGCTTTGATTTGTTTTTCCATTTGGGGCATATTTCTTTGTTTCAGTACACCTGTTCAGTTGTAAGGGGTGGAGCCTTAGGTATTTCCCAGGGTGGGGCAACCCACTTGGCTGCATTGTGGTGCTGTCTGTGGGGGAGGGGTCAGGGAACAATGTCACTTGCTCAGCTCTTGTCCTGTTTTCAGTCACTTCCCTCGCTTCCCACAAGCAGATTGTGCCCTTTTAGGTGCTGAATCCTTGATGAGAGGGCTTGTGTACATTCTAGCACCCTGTGGACCCCTCCAGCAGACTCTTGTGAGGCTGGAAGTTTCTCCCGCTGCTGCAAGCCCCACAGGTTTTTACAGCCAGAGGTTCTGAGGCTTTAGTTTCCCGTGCTGGAACCCTGGGTTGCACGGTCTGTCTCGCTCCCGACTTGTTCCTCCCAGCTTATCTGTGCACGAATGTGGGACTGCCCGGCCCACCAGCTATCACCTCACCTGCCTGGTCATCTAGTCCCCACCTTGCCTTGCGTCCTCTTCTCCCTGGCTTCCTGTCTCTGCCTCTCCTACCAGTGTGGATGAATGTTTCCTTAACTCCTTGGTTGTTGTACTTCCACATAGTTCGATTTTCTGGCAGTTTTGGTTGTTTTTTTGTTTTTAAGTTGGTTGTTATGCTTCCTTTGGTTGTGCGAGGAAGCGAAGCCTGTCTACCTATCCCTCCATCTTGGCCAGAAGCCCAGCATTTCTGGTTGGATTGAATTGACTTCCATCTGCTACCTGAGGGCAGAGCTAGAATCATCCTCATCAATATTATCTGCTGCTGCATAATAGCCACTTGCCATCTAACAGCATTTGTGGCTGGGAACTCAGGAACAGCATGGCTGGCTCTGGCCCAGGGTCTCTTTTGAGGCTGCATCCCATTGGAAAACTTGGTTAGCGCCAGAGTCTGTGTCCCCAGGATAGGGCCTTGGCCTGGGTGGGAGCCTTTGTTCCTGGTCATGAGGTGTTCCATGGGGCTGCTCAACATGGTCTTGCTATGAGCTGAGAATAGAGTCATCAAGATGGAAGCCACAATGTCTTCTATAGCTTAATATCTTGTTGGGGATATGCTGTCACTCAGCTCTGATTGTGTTGGTCATGCAAACCAGGCCTTTGCAGGACTACAGGGTAGGACTACAGAGGTGGTGAGGACTACAGGATATGAATATCAAGGGGTGGGGGCCATTGGGGACCATCCTGGGGGCCGTTGACCATACCATCTCACAGATGAGGCAAGAGGTTTGCTACTCCCCTGGGGTTGGCTGCTCCTCAGGGGTGTGGGGACCAGGGTTCTCTTGGGGCCTTTTCCACCAGACACCACAGACCCTGTACAAGTCACAGGGTTGGGCCTACTGGGCATTCCCACCTGCACTGCTGGGAACATCAGTGCCACATGGTGTTTCTTTGCTGGACTTGATTTTAGAAGGCAAAATGGCCTTGAAGATGAAGGTTTGCACACTAGTAATGCTGGCAGACTCACCCACCCTGGCAGGGGCCTGGCCCAGCCTTTCGCAGAGGATAGAAGTGCTCTGGAAAACTGGCCACCTAAAGACATCCACACTGGCCTAGAAGTCTCAGCATCCAGCTGACACTGTGTGCCTTTCAGGCACATGGGCACCACTCAGCCTGTTGAGTGATAGGCTGCCAATATGCTGTGTGTTTTGGTCTGAGAGTTTGTGTTTCAGGTCAGGACTTTGCCATCTTTTAGTGGGATCTGCCTCTGGGTTAGTGATAGGGTGCATGAGAGTGGGTTTCCCTGCAGGCTGCAGAGACCCCAGATGGGGCATGTGGATGATGTTAGGTCACCTCCTTTGCCTGCCCAGTGGGTGGGGAAAAAGGTGCTTTCCTACCCATCTCTTGGAGGTGACACTTCCCTGTCCTTTTTCCATCCTGAAGAATGGGGAGCTGATTTATGGCTGCAAGGATGCTCGGAGCCCCGCGGCTGACTGGAGCGAGCTGGCATATCACCTGAAACCTTTCTTCTTCCCATCCAACGGCCTGGCCAGTGGGCCCCACTGCACAAGGGCTGTGATCCGGGAGCTGGTGCGTGTCATCACACGAGTGCTGCTGAGCAGCTCGGACAAGGGCCAGGCAGGTGCCCGGAGGCTGGGGCCAGGGTTGCGGGGCCCGTGTGTCTGTGAAGCCAGCCCTTTCAGCAGGAGCCTGCCTCACCAAGGTAGGCTGGCTGGGTGGGTCGGCGTGTGGGCAGAGCCTGGGCACAACCTGCAAGGGTCCTTCCTGGCCTCACAGAGCTTCTTCAGGAGCAACCTGGGCCCCAACAGGGCTCCCCAAATCCAACCTCCCTGCCTCTCAGGCCTAGGTCGGGAGACTCCTTTTCTCATCTTCAGTCTCGATTTGTGAATTGCCGCACAGATTTGGGCTGTATGGTTTTCTCTAAAGCATTGTCCTACAAGTCTGTGCATCCACTGTGGTTTGCTGAGTGCTTTCTGTACATGCTTCTGGTTTATTCTCTTTGCAAACCTGGGGGTGTATTTCCTTGGCCTGTTTCTTAACATGTGGAGAAATGAGTCACTGAAGTTGGAGTCCCACAGTGCAAGCCCTTCAAGGTAGGGGTGGTCCCAGCAGGCAGAAGTTGGCAGACAGGTGTGAGCACAGGCACGCAGAGCTTGTGACTCTGGGCATTTCCTACTAGAGGACCTGTTCCTCACAGATTCACCAGTAGCCAGCTGTGACTCGTTGGCATCTAGGCTTCAAGAAGAAGGCTAGTTTGGGTTATTGTCCTGTGTTCATGGGCTCCTCATTTGCCCCTTTGCCACCTGCTAGGTGCTCCACTACATATTCACGTCTGTGGCTTCGGGTGCTATAACCAGGAATTTATTTTGTGGGGCCAACTAGGAAGTCTGAGATGCTTCAGTTTTTGTGTTAAGAGCTCTGTGGTCTCTCAGAGACCTCTGATGACAGCCACAGGGATGTGATGTGAGAAGACAGCAGCACTGCCCTGTGTGGCTTTTAGGTCTTGTTGTATAGTTGCCTCTGCACAACAGATATGACTGTTTTCAGATACCTGCCTCTGCAAGTGGGCTGTGGATCTGGCCTTCACAGACATGCTCTTACAGATTTGGGGATGTTAGCATGATCATTTTAAATTTTGTGCCTTAACTTATCTAGACAAAAGGTCGTCTCTCCAAACTTAAATCTGGACAGATGTGGTGGAGTAGAAGGGTGCTGAGAGAAAAGAGGGACAGAGAGCAGAATGTGTGTCACCTCCCTCTCGTGTGCCTGGCCCTGTGCATGTGCCAGCAGCCCAGCAGCTTCTTGAGGCTGTGCAGCCTGTGCCTGCACCTTTATTAGTCCTTGACAGTAACCTCTTGTTTCCCCTGATGTTCTTGGTAGGAAAAAGCAGCCTGGAGTGCTCGGGGTTACCGAAGGGCTGTCTTCTGTATAAAACCCTTCAGGTGCAGATGTTGGACCTGCTGGACATTGAAGGCCTCTACCCCCTGTATCGACGGGTTGAGAGGTACCTGGAGGAGTTTCCTGAGCAGAGGTGAGACTTGGGCTTGTGGTACCGCTACCTGTTCTGGTCCAGTGTGGGGCCCCTGAGCAGCCCAGAAGGTGAGGTGGAGATGAGGGGAAGGGCTGCTCCAGTGCAAGGGCAGCACAGGCCTCTCAGGTGGAAGAGCAGTCCCATCCACCTTTCCCCATTACGCTCAAGTGCCAGTTCCACCCAGGGACTCAGTGCTGTGTGAAGATGGACCAGGGTCCCTTAGATCAGTAGTCACTGGTCTGTTCCTGGAAAAGAAGCATGTCTTGTGGATCTGACAGTTTTGAGTTGGGGCCAAGCCTGCAGGGGGCAGTGCCGTTCCACAGGTGGCGGCTTCTGTACCAGGCAGGCTCTAGGCCTCAGGTTTTCCTGAGCTGCCGAGTTCATTCCCTGGCCTCCTGATTTGGGTCCCTGGGGTCCACAATCTCAAATGCATGATGGGGATTGAAACTCCCTTCTTTTCCATTGTCCTTTCAGTGGGTTCTCTGACCTGGATGCCATTTGTCACAAACAAATGTGCAGCCTCAGCTCCCCAGGTTCTGGTCTTGCAAGTTCTTTTTAAAACTGCTGCTTCAGGATAAAGTGTAGCATTAGGAAGAAGAGAATCCCTTAGGTGTTCTTTAATACTGTTAGCAGTTTAAGAAACCATTTTCAGTCAGCTTTGTCATCTTGTTTTTTTGTGCCCTTTCCTTCAGAAAAACATTGCAGATAGATGGGCCTTATGATGAAACATTTCACCAGAAGCTGCTTGATCTTTCCACTGAGGATGACGGGACAGTGGCTTTTGCACTGACAAAGGTGGGCAGACCTTTCCAGAAACACACTGCATGCTCCTTAGGCTCTTAGCACTAACTTGAGGTTTTCCTGAGAAAGGTTTCCCAGTACCTGCCTCTGATGGTTAAAGCAGAAAAATTAGGGATTTGAGAAAGAAGTGGCTAAAGTTTCCCCCAGATGGACTGGGCCTGGTGAAGATTTGTTCAGTTGGCTGCAGTCCCCCACACAGGGCTCAGCCTCTCTGCACCCCTATGCTGGGGTCCAGGACCTGGGTCACCTCTCTGTGCTTCCTTCTGAGAAACCTTTGAACTGGCTGGCACCAACCTTTCCTCTCACAGCTCTCACTGGGGTCCGGGAACCCTCACCTGTTGGGCTGGGTCGGGGCTTCCTTCTACCAGAACTCAGGCCAAGGGGCAGCTTGGGAGAATCTCTTAGGGAAGAGGCCTGGTCCTGTTCTTTCTGGTTCTGCCAAATCAGGGAATTCAGAAGCTCCATGAAAATGGATAGGAAAAAAAGTTAAATCTTTTACTAAGCTCTAACTGAAATTCAGTGTTTCATTCCATTACGAACATGGCAAAAACTACTGTAGGGTGAACAGAACCCTGGCTGCACCACGAGAAATCAGACCTTTCATTTCTCACTGCAGTTGCTACAGAGGTCTTACAAAAGCTTTGTCGTCATCACTTGTGAGATTTGATTATATAGTTCTGTGTAACACATATTTTTTTAAAAAGTGTGGTGTCTGATACGGTCACCTTCTGTTTTTTATTCTCTGCATTTAAAAGTGTTAGATTCAGAGAGGGATCCATAGCCTCACTGAGCTGCTAACGGTGTTGCTAGATGCTGTAATGGTTAAGGAACCATTTTCTTGTAGGGGAGAGGTGTCTGAGTGACCTTCTCTGTGTGCCCCAGGGCAGCTGCCCTGGAGCCCTTGGCTTACCTGTCCTGGTATTGATGATGTATCTGTGGTTCCCACTTGTGAAAAAAGCCCTCACGCCCTGACCAGGTGGCTCAGTTGGTTAGAGCATCGTCTCGTATACCAAGAGGGTGCAGGTTCGATCCCCAGTCAGGACCAATACTTGGGTTGCGGATTCGATCACTGGTCTGGCCATGTACCAGAGGTAACTGATCTTTGTTTTCCCTCACATCGAGGTTTTCTCTCTCTCCCCTTTATTCTCTTTCTAAAATCAATAAACATATCCTCAGGTGAGGATTTAAAAAAGAAAAAAAAAAAAGGAGGCCTCACTGTTGTTTCTGGCCAAGAGGTCCTCTCTGAAGGCAGAGCACCTTCAAGGTGGGGAGAGAACCAAAAGTGGGTCCTTGGCCTCAAATGAAGCAACAGAATCTGCCCTATGTTGCCTGGAACTTGAATACATTGATTTTGGAATAAATAACACCATTGCTTCTTGTTTAAAGAGAGAAAACATAGGACCTTAGTTCCTTTTTTATATATTTCTATATTTTTCAAAATTCCTACTAAATAATCATGGTTTACTTTTTAGTTTTATTTGTTTTTTAACCTCATGTAAACATAGTCTCGTAATAGATTCGAGTAGTCATTACGTAACTATGAAAATGGCTAAAATAAGGACATTGGGAAAACACTGAATGCTGATGCAGAGAAAATGGGTCACTCATACACTGCTGGTGGGATGTAAAGTGGCATTGGCCACTCAGGAAACAGTCTGGCAGCTTTCTAATAAACTGAACAAGGCAAGAGCCTGTAACCCAGCTGGGCAGTTCTCAAAGAGGATGGAAGACTTCTCCTCACCCAAAACCTTGTGCAGGGGTGTTCATTTAGTCTATGGAATGACTAGAATGTGGACACAAACTAAGTTGCCAGCACATGACCTACAATAGGTTGCATAGACTGGCATTGCTGAACAATGAAAAGGAACAGGCTCTGGATACACATAGCACCCTGAAGCCAATCACAAAAGGTCACACACTGTGTTTTTGTTTAAGTGACATTTTTGAAATGACAAAGATGTGTCATTGCCGCAGGTTGGAGAGGAGGTAGAAGGAAGGTGGGTGTGATTATAAAAGGTCGACATGAGGGATCACTGCAGTGATGGAACTGCTCTGTATGTAACTTGACTGTGGTGGTGTATGCACTGTTCTACATGTGTGGTAAAATACACAAACACAGGAATACATGTAAAACTTTGGAGATTGGGATAAAACTGTGGAATGTATCGATGTCACTCTCCTGGCCATGATAGTGTATTATACAGCTCTGCAAGATGTCACCATTGGGGGAGGCCGGGTAAAGGGTATTTGGGATCTCTTCTTTATTTCTTTCAAGTGCACGTGAACTTACACTTATCTCTAAACAAACCATTTGATGAAAAGATGCAAGCAGTGAGTATATTGTATAAAATGTGGCCATATTCCTACCCAGGCAATAGATATGCATGGCTAACAGTATGGAGTGTATGTTTTTAGAACTTCTCACGTACAAGCACATACCCACACACCCACACTCACACCATTCGGGGGACTGTCCACATTATGTGTTGTTCACCAGTTTGAATTTAATGTAACGTGGTTTGAGATCTCTCAGTTTTGGAATATAAGGGTCTGCCTCTTTTTGTCTTAAGGAGTTAGGTTCTGGTGGTTAGAATCAAAAGAGGGCTGCTGTGGAGTGGGAAGCTGGCAGGGTAGGTCAAGAACATTCCTTGGACACAGGCTGTTAAAGTTCTTTCTCAAAGGTTGTTTACCTAATGTACCTCTGATGAAATGAGAGAGGAGGGGATATTGTCTTTATTTCCATGCTCAGGAAATTGCAGCCCAGGGTGACTCTTGCTTTCTGCTTGTCGTGTAGTATTCTGTATTGGCAGTCAGCAGACTTTATAAAGGGCCAGATAGTAAATGCTTTAGACTTTGTAGGCCATCTGGTCTCTGTTGTAGGTACTTGACTTGGCCATTGTAGCTTAGAAGCAGCCATAAACAAACATAAGCGAGCACAGCTGTGTTCCAGTAAAACTTTATTTACAAAACAGGTGGCAGGCTGGATTTGGCTCCCAGCCCCACAGTTTGCTGACCTCTCTGTTCATTTTTGCTTGTTAGCTTTTATATTCCATTTTTTTCTTATTAGTTTGGAAATTATACATTGTTCATGTTATTTTAGTGGTTATTTGTCCAATTTGACCATGCAGATTTAAAGTATAACGCTAAATAATAACTTAACCCCTAAACCTCCAACCATGGCCAAACAAACAATATAAGGTTTGGGAAACCGCCCTGGCTGGTGTTGCTCAGTGGATTGAGTGCTGGCCTGCAAACCAAAGGGTCGCCAGTTCGATTCCCAGTCTAGGGCACATGCCTGGGTTGCAGGCCAGTCCTCCATAGGGGGCACATGAGAGGCAAACACACATTGATGTTTCTCTCCCTCTCTTTCTCCCTCCCTTCACGTCTCTAAAACTAAGTAAAATCTTTTTGAAAAAAAGGATTTCGGATACTTTAATTTCAGTTATTTCTCGCAACATACATGTACTTACTGTCTGCAATTCTATTTGTCTTGTTCTTTTTCAAAATCACAATTTACAGTATTATTTTATACAGATGTTTGTTTAGATCTACCATGTTTGCTCATGTTTATATCCAACATTCTTGCATCTCAGGTCTTTCCTATTTTCCCTTTTTTTAATAACAGCTTTATTGAGGTATAATTTACATACCATATAATTTACCTGCTTCAAGTGTATAATTCAATGGTTTTTACTAGATTCAAAAATATGTGCAGCCATCCCCATACCAAATGATGAGGACACTTTCATCAACACCGAAGTCACCTACCCTTTAGCTATAATCCCTTTATCACCACCCCACTCCCTGCCCGCAGCCCTCAGCCACCACTAATCTTTCGATCACTATCTACCTATTTTAGATATAGCATATAAATGAAATCATTCAATTTATGGTCCTTTATGACTCTGACTTAGCATAATGTTTTCAAGGTTTGTCTGTACTGTAGCATATATCAATACTTCATGGCTGAATAATATTGCACTGTATAGATATACAAAACAAATTTTGTTTATTCATCAGTTGGTTGGGCATTGAGTTGTTTCCACTTTTTGGCCACTGTGAATAATGCTGCTGTAAATATTTGTGTACAGATTTTTGTGTGGACATAGACTTTTCTAGGGCATATGCATAGGAGTGGAATTTCTGGATCAAATGATAACTTACATTCCTGTTGGCAGTGTAGGACAGTTCCAATTTTTCCATATTTTTGACAGTACTTGTTATCTGTTCTTCTGATTTTAGTCATCCTTTTGGGTGTGAAGTGGTAGCTCATTGTGGTTTTACATTTCCCTGAAGACTAAACAATTTTTTTTATGTGCTTGCTACCCCTTTTATACTTTATTTGGAGAACTCTTTTCACATCCTTCGCCCACTTTTTAATTATGTAATTTGTCTTGTTGTTGAGTTGTAAGAATTCTGTATTTTGTGGATAGTAGGCCCTTATCAGATATATGATTTGCAAATACTTTTTCTTCCATCCTTTCAGTTGTCTTTTTACTCTTTTGATAATGTCCTTTGATGCAAAAATGTTTTTAATTTTGATGAGGTCCAATTTATCTATTTTTATCTTATTGTTGTTCATGTTTTCATTGTCATATCTCAGAATCCATTGCTAAATCCAAGGTGATGAATATTTTTCCATTTTCTTCTAACATTTTTATGGTTTTGGCTCTTACATTTAGTTTTTTTATTTATTTGGAGTTAATTTTTATATATGATTTGAATTAGAGAGCCAACATCATTCTTTGCATGTGGATATCCAGTTGTCCCTGTACCATTTGTTGAAGAGACATTGAATGGTCTTGGCACCCTTGTGTTCCACTGATCTATGTTTATACTTATGTCCATATCTTGTCTTGATTTACTCTTGCTTTTTAGTAAGTTTTGAAATTGGGAAGTATAAGTTCTCCAACTTTGTTCTTTTTTTTTAAGATTGTTTTAGCTCTTCAGAGTTCCTTATAATTAATTCCATATGAATTTTGGGATCAGCCTGG